ACCTGCTTCCTCAGCCCCCACCTGCTTCCTCAGCCTTGCTCGCTGCTCTAGGTACCAAAAGCAGCCCACCCATTTTTTTTTTTCATGAATACAAAGTATCTACAATAATAGATACCTAGGTATTTGATTTTCTAATAAACCAATTACTGGGCATATTTACAAAAAATATTTACTATACAGGAATTGTTCTGAATTACTGTTTTTTTTTTTTAACCCTCAAACTACCTTGTACAGTAATGAGACTAGCAATGAAATAATCTGTTAAAAATACTAAAGATGTCATTTAGATGGGACCTTGGTTGGTACCAGGTGTGTCAGAAGGGCTAGGACTTGAAAAGGACCCAGCAGAGTGTTTGGGACACCAAGTTTGATGCACAACGACCCTCGACCTCTAGAGCGTGGGCTTGCTCCTGTCCTTCGCAGGCCGATGCACACCTTCTCTGGAGACTGCCCGGGAGCCTCAGTAGCAGTTCTGAGATCTGGATGGTGCATTTGGGGAGAAGGTTTTTCCAAGTTCTAGTGCATGCTCAGCTAGCGAGGATGGTGTTGGCACGCCGTGCAGTGTACACATGCACACGTGTGTGTGGACTCGCAGAGAGATGAGCACGTCCTAGTAACAGAAGTTGTCATGGTTTTTTCCATGTTACCAACATAAGGATCTCTGCCTCAGTTTTCACACAGGTGAATTAGAGACACTGGGTTCTTCCTTGGGACTTCAAAGTGTCCAGTTACATTAATAATCTTAGAATAGGTGACAGGTGATAGAAGCTTCTATATCGTCAGTTAAAACTGTCGGCCTTACTTTCATTGGCAAACACATGCACACACGCATGGCCACACTCACTTGATCCTCACAGAAGCAGTGAGTGTGAGCACTGTTGCTCCTGGTGTTCACACGAGGAAAAGGAGGCACTGAGGAGTGAAGCTACTGCTTGAAGCCCCAGGTGGGCTGGGTGGACCCAGAGTCCCTCTGCCTAGTCACCAACTCGAGGTCAGAACAGTGGCTTGGATTATCCTGGTCCTTGCTGCTCTGTGCCTTGTGGCTGGGAGGATCATTTTCTGGTGAGGTGTGCCTGTGTGCTCCAGGATTGGTGCTGGGTGTGTCAACAAAGATGCTAATGAGCCCCCCAGGGCTTGCTAGTGATAGTACTTGCAGGTCAGTGACCGCCTAGCAGGGAGGACAAGAGGCCTGCCTCCCTGCCTCCAGGTGGACCACTTCTCTGGTGTGGTTCACGCTCTAGAACTCCAGTCATCACTTGAGCAGGGATCCCCGACTCTGGCTCAGCTTCCAGGGAACCATCCTGCAACCATTTGCAAAGTGTTAGAAAGGCATTGTTGGTCATGTAGGAAGCTTGGTAAGTTTTCCTCTGAACCTTGATTTTATTCTCTAGGATGAGGCAGGTGTGCCTAAGACATTGAGGGCAGGTTAAGTACATCCAGCACGCTGTCTGGCTCAGGGCTCATGATTAAGGTGAAGACAGCCCATGTTCATGGATAGGAAGCCGGTGCTGCCAGGGACCAGTTCTTCCTGGCTTGATCCGGAGGTCCAGACAGTCCCAGTTGCAACCTGATAGAATACGGGAAAAACCAGACGCGTTTCTTTCTCAATCTCAGAAACTCGGGACAGCAGGAAATGCCTCACTCTGAGAAGGGAAGAGCCTGTGTGCTTTTTCCTCTGTCTCTTCTCCACTCGGGGCTCAGGGCTCCCGACTTCAGACACGTAGAGTTTTCTCCCTCATGTCAAGCCCGCCTTTCTGATGGGATGCTGGCTGGTGTTTTCTGATTCGGTTCAGTTCTGGTGCTGTTTATGTGGAGGTAGTGTCAGATCCCATGGGTTAAGGGCAGAGTCCCATGAGACCACCCCCACCTCTCCAGCCCCAGGCTGTGACCAGTGCCTCTGACTGACCAGCTGCACATCACGGTTCCCCTGACCCTTCTTCAGATGCTACAGCGGCTCACAAACCAGGGGGTACTTTTTTCTTTTTACTGGTTTATTGTAAAGAATATTTCAGACGAGCAGCCAGCTGGGAGAGGTGCACGGGGCAAGGGGTGCTGGAAGGAGGGTAGGGCTCCCACACCCACTGTAGGCATGCCACCCTCCAGGAACCCAGAGACAGACTCGCACAGTCACCTCCACGGGTCTTTGACAGAGGAGCCTTCAGGGTGGCCGCCTGCATTTCCTTTTCCTCATGTGTTTTCGTCTCTCATCCTTCTTTGGGGGCTGTGCCTGTCTCCCCTTCCTTGCCCAGTGGCTTGTCCTTCTCTGTGCCAGTCTGATCCCTCTGCCCCTCTTTGCCCTGTTACTTCCTCTCTCCTCTGTTCTTCCTCTCTGTCCTCCTCTCTCTTCTCTTTTAACAGCTCTTACTGGGCCCACCGTGTGCAGCCTCCATGCTGGGGTGGGGTTGGGGACAGAGGGCTATCGATGCACAGATTCCCTTGGATAAGCTCTGGCCTGTTCAGTGCTGTGGGTGAAGGGGAGGAGCAGTGCCTGGTATGTATCTCGGCAGGCAATGGGAGGTTGTCCGAGTTCAGTGGCAACCGACCTCACATTGGGCAGGACAACTTGGAGCTAATGGGATTAAGAACCATTCCTGGGTGAGCAGGCAGCACATGCTAATGCCCTGTGGTAGGAGTGAGAATTGTAGCTGGAGCATGGGGAGTGGGCCAGGCTGAGGGTGGTGTCCATAAAAGCCTGTGGTTCCTAGTCCTAAGAATCAACGGGACACCACTGGAAGGCTGATGCCAGGAACAGCATGGGCCTGTCATAGAGATGGCTCTGGTGATGGGCTTGGCTGAAGGAGGTGTGTCAGGAGGCTCCTCGGGGGACAGAACAGCTTGGTTGCCTATGATGACAGCTTGGGTTGTAGGGTTGGTCATGGAAATGGAAAGAATTTGACAGCTTCAGAGCAATTTTGGAAGTAGAATTAGACTTGGTGATGGTGGGAAGACAGTGTTACATCGTCTGGACATTTTTCCTTAGTTTCATGTACGTGTGTCAATTTTTGTATTATTCTTATGCAAGGTGAAAAGCTCAGATTCCCTTCAAGAGACATTTTGTGGGGAAAGAGAAAAGTTAGACTAGATAGGAAATTAAAGAGCCAGGCCGTGATGGCGCACACCTGTCATCCCAGCAGGAGGATCTCAAGTTCGAGGCCAGCTCGACCACTTAACAAGACTCTCCAGATACAGAGGTCTGGGGCTGTCGCTCAGGGGTAGAGCATCTCTGGGTTCAATCCTCAGTACCAAGGGGAAAAAAAAAAAGTTCATTACTTAAGTCACTGGACTCTTGCCTGTCAGTCAACTGGGTGGGTGACAGCTGTTTTTGTGAACGAACCTTCATGCCATTAAAGGTTTTAGGTAACTGCAAAGGCAGGCGCGTCAGGAAGGCGGATTTCCCCTAGAAAGTCACCAACTCCAGCGCAGGGAATGGATTTATTTTTGAGGAACAGATAAAGAGCCAAGATCGGAAGCCCGTGGGTGTCTGTGTTGGGTGAAGAAGGGGGGCGTGCTCTGCTGACCACAGTGGGGCCACCCATAATTGACAAATGATTTCTGAAACCTTTTGTTTTGAAATTGTTTTAGACTCATGTGGCTGTGGCAAAAATAGTGGCATTTCTGTGCCCGGTTCCTCCAGGATTCCCAGTGACGGCGTGTTTCCTAATGTGATGACAACCAGGGTGTTGTCGCTGGGACGGTACCGCTGACTAAGCCGTGCACCCCCGCGGCTTTCAGCACCTTGGTCTGGTGTTTCCTTCCGTGGTGTTGTAGTGCATGGTCCCATGGAGTGATCACAGGAGCAGCCGCGTGTGACAGATACACCTGGGGTCCAGAGCAAGCGCTGTGCTGACAGTCTCCTCCTCTGTCATGACCATGGTCAGCTGAACAGACCCGGGTGAGAAGGCAGAAGCTGTCCGCTCATCCCGCCGGCCTGTCACCTGAGAATGGCCCGAGTCTTTCCTGCTGCTTCAGATCTGACTCCGAAGGGCCCTTTCTTGTTGGGCAACATGGTGGCTGCAGCCCCTTGATGAGGCATTTCCTTTTGGAAATTGCAGAGAGTAGCTCTGGGAGGTAATGCATAGGCTAATCAGCTCCGTGAAGCCATTGCCCAGTGTATACCCGTTTCAAACATCACCTTCTATGTGACAAATGTATGCAGTTCTTCTGTTAACTAACAGACAAAACATAAAATGAGCTTTCCCCCCTGTCAGATCTACCCAGCCTCCTCCTCCCCAAGCCAGCCTCCTCCTCCCCAAGACAGCCTCCTCCTCCCCAAGCCAGCCTCCTCTGGGCGCAGAGCTGATCCTGCCTTCCTCACCCCCATCTGGGAATCCCTGCCTTTCCTGTTTCTCTGTCCCATGTGCCAACTGAGGTGCAGGAAGCAGCTTTTTGGTTGTTAAGTGACAGAAACTTGTCTCCAACTAACCTGCGCTGACTTTATTGGTTGTCGTAAGTGGCACCTCCCAGGGCGGAGCTGCCTCAGAGCCTGACTGGGAGCAGTCCGACTTGGTGGTGTGACGGGGCTTGATGTCTCTTTCCATGTGGCTGGCAACAGGGTGCCGCTACCCCAACTCGGGGCCAGCCTGGCGGCAGCTCTGAAACCTCTTCATAAATGGTCCTGGCCAGGTGTGTCCCAGGAGAAGGCTTAAGGGCCCAGCTGGGGCCATGACTTGTCCTGGGGCCAGTCACTGAGCCAGTCAACGGCCAACCTGGGGGTTCGCAGGACTCCTGCTCCCCCTTCACCTGGTGGTTGAAGGCAGAGGGGGAAGGGGTGAGCCAGCACAGGGAACAGGTCTGACCCAGGAAGGGGGGAGTTTTGTTTTGCTTTGTTTTTGGACAGAGAAAGGGAAGGAAGGGACTAGTCCGGCCTGCTGTTTGGACTGGTCCATCATTCAGTGGTCATCCTATGAGGGCCAGGGAGTTTCCCTTGGGCTGTCCTGGCCCTGTAGCTTTTGATCAGGAGGGGTGGGCTGCTTCTGATTGGCCCGTGCTTATTTCCTCAGTGGACATCATGGAGATCAAGGAGATCCGCCCGGGGAAAAACTCCAAGGATTTCGAGCGTGCGAAAGCGGTCCGCCAGAAGGAAGACTGCTGCTTCACCATCCTGTACGGCACTCAGTTTGTCCTCAGCACACTCAGTTTGGCAGGTGGGTGTCATTTTGTGTGCTTTTCTCCCTTGCTGAGCCACAGTTTCCATCTGAGGAAGTTCTCTGGTAGCGGATGCTCATCCTTACCCACTAACATGCCTTTGGAGCATCATGGTTTTAAATCCCAGCCCTACTGTGTGTCTTTGGGCAAGCTACATAACCACTCTGAGCCGCAACTGTTCAGCTGTGAAATGGAAAGAACAATCATGCCTGCATCATGGGATGCTGTGAGGAGTTTAAGTGTCAGCCTGGCTCATGTTGAGAGTCAAATAAATGGTGGTTAACGTGATTGCCACAGGCAGGCACCTTGCTTTCTACCAGAGCTCCTGCACAGAAAACTTGGTACTGATCTGAAGGAGCTGAGGTTTGCATGCGTGTGCATACAAACACACGCTACACGTGCATGCACACACAGATACACGTATCCGAACGTGAGGTTTCTGGTCATCCCTGTGCATCATCACAAAGCAGAAGAGCCCCCTCTGGTCTTCTGAGAGCAGATGGAGAGGGTGGGCTCTTTACAGGGCTGAAGCTGTGGTTGCTTAAGGTCCAGCCTCAGTGTATGTACAGCCGTGACTGAGGGGAGAGAAAATAAATCCTGCTCAAGTAGACCAAGGGGGACCGTGACAGCCTAGCAGTGTGGGACATCCGGTTAGGGTTGGCCAGCCCTTACTGATGGCTCCTGTCTAGCGTCTTGTGTGCTCTTGCTCTGAGAGAGATGTCAGTGGGGCGAAAAGAGGAAAGACCCAGCTGCTGCTGTCACAGAGCTCACAGTCTGCCTGGAGAGAGGGCTGTGGGGACAGGAAGTTATAGCACACCGTCACGAGAGCTGCAGTCCACAGCAGTGCCCTGCAGCAGGAAAACGGGGTGCCTAGACCCAGGAAGGCTTTGCAAAGTGACTTCTGAACTGGGTTTTAAGGCCGGTTTGCTAGGAGTTAAAAGGAAAGAGGGAGGGCGGTCCAGGGAGGAGGCAAGGCCTGAGCCGGAGCCTGAGCAGGGGTAGTAGGCCGGAAACGGGGAGCACTCGATTGGTGGTGTGTGGAGGGCAGGGGAGGGCGCAGAGGAAAGGGGCCCCTTGACATGGGCCTTCACAGCTCCGGCCACGGAGCCCCACACCCACGGAGCCCCACACCCGCGGAGCCCCACATGCGGGCTGAGTGCATACCAAGCTTTGGCATGAGTTCCTTCTAGAGCCCTGAATTCATGACCTTGGTTCACTCGCTGGGACACTTTGCCCTTCTGAGCCCTGGCTTCCTCTCATCCTGGGGAAGGAGTGAGAGTGGAGGTCTTGGGGTGCTCCTGGCAGAGGAACCAGGTGCCGGTGCTCTGCACGTGCTTAGTAGATGGCAAGTGTCGCGATGCTGCTCCCTGCTCCTGAGGGCTTGGGGGCTCAAGCCAGTGATGTGGCCTGCCCATGGCAGCCCTGCCATGGTGTCATGGACAACCCTGCCGTGGTGTCATGGACTGGAGAGACCGGCCTCCTCTTGCAGAGAGGTCAAGCTCTGTGCGCCACCTGTTGCTGCTTCCCTCTGTCCAGGGTGCTACCTCCCCTCCCGCCAGCCTCCTTGGAAACAGGAAATGTGTATGGAGGGCGCCGGGATTGTGGCGCACATCTGCCTGGCCCTGCTTCTGATTCACCACCCTGGGCTAAAAGCAAAAAACTTCGATGAGACAAAACAAGAAGTTAACGCCCTGAGCCAGAGGCCCTCCATTGCGGAGGCTGAATGATGGCTTCCCAGATGTCGGCGTCCTAATGCCTGCGGCCTGTGCATGCTTCATCTGAGGGGGGGACTTTGCAGATGTGACTGAGTTAAGGTCTCCATGGGGAGGTGATCCCAGGTTAGCCAGGACCCAGTGTAATCACAGGAGGGAAGAGGTTCAGCCGCAGAGGTCAGAGTGGTGCTGGACCCAGCCAAGGAGTGCAGGCAGCCCCCAGAGGAAAGGAGATGGGTCCTTCCCAAGGGCTCCCAGCAGGAGTGTGGCCCTGCCAACCTGTTGGGGACTTGACCTCCATAATGGAAAGGGATACCTCCATGTTACTTTAACCCGCTGGATTTGTGGTAATTCGTTATTGTGATAGAGGCCCTGAGACCTCAGCCTGTGTTCCCACTAGCACCCCCGGGAGAGTTGCCCACCCTCCCTTCTGAAGTAGTATCTCCGGGTGGGGCCTAGGCCCTGGGATTTTGGAAGGCCACCCAAGTGATTCTCTGAAGCTGGGTCTGAGCACCCCTGGCTTGGAGTTCAGGATCCTCAGCTTGTTATCCACAGAGTTGGGTGCCGTTAGGGTTAGGGTTAGGGTGGGCTGCAGGTCCCAGTCTGCCCTGGCTGCTGTAGCAGAATGCCACAGACTGGGTGGCTCACAGTCTGGAGCCTGGGAAGTCCGAGATCATACCGCTGGCCTGGTGGGTTCTGGTGACGTCCCCTTTGGCTGGTTGATGGTCGCCTTCTCTTTGTGTTCACGTGGCCTTTCTCAGCGTGCGCTCTGGTAGGGAGGGAGCTTGGGTCTGTCCTCCCTTCTAATCCCCGTGTGGAGGACCCGTCCCTATAACCTTATCTCAGCCTAGTCACCCCCAAATGCCCACTCCAAGGCCCGTCACATTAGGACCTCAACCCAGGAATTCTGGGAGGACACACCTTCAGTCCTTCATGGCAGTTAGGGGCCATGTGGCCTTGGACACATCACCAAACCTTAGACTCGGTTTTTCCACGCTGGGGTAGTGATGGCGCGTCCCTTATGGGCTCGTTGTTCAAGAGGAGGCAGATACAGGGAGGCTCACAGAATAGCACCAGCTGTGTTCAGCAGTGGCCTCTGTGGTAGTCACTGCCACTCTCGGCCAGGTCCAGGTGGTATGGGGAGCCCCCCTGCCGCCTGGGGAGGAGGCCCATCTCCAGTGCAGCCTCGTCTCAGTCAGGAGCAGGCCCCAGGACGGTGACGGTGTGAAGGAGACGCCCCTGGTGTCCTGCCAACCTGGAAGACAGCGCAGCTCTCTCCCATCCCCCTGGTCTGTAACTCTGCTGGGGTTGGGGCTCCAGGCAGAGTCTCCCAGTGATTAACAATGCTTCTGTGCTGTCCCCCTCTCCAGCTGACTCTAGGGAGGACGCCATGAAGTGGCTCTCTGGCTTGAAGATCTTGCACCAAGAAGCGATGAGTGCGTCCACCCCCACCATCATCGAGAGGTGCCTGGCTTACCTGTCTCTGTCCTCGCTCATTCACCCCTTGGACAACGGGCTAAAGGGAAGGGGGTGGGTGGGGCGTTGCATCTTGGAGGTGCACCCGGAGCCTGTGGGCCGTGGGCGCGTGGGATTGTGGGCTCTCCAGTGCTTCCAGTCAGGCTCTCGGGCTACTCTTTAGCCTTGGCCTTCGAGTGAGCAGAGCATTGGGACTGAAATGGAAACTTCCACTGGTGTGGCGTGTCGGGAGGGCGTCCTTCTGTTAGGACTCAGTGGGGGGCAGGTGGCCCAAACCGAGGCAGCCAGAGTCAGGGCTGGAGTTTGTCCCCTGTCACTCCCTCGTGGTTGACAGAGGCTTTCTCAGGATTGTCTCTCAAGCTGATGGGTATCGGTGGGATCTGAGCACGAGTTACTGCCCCCAGTAAACCAAAGGCCCCACTTCTGCTGTTTTTCTTAACCAGCTATTTGGGGACTAGTAACTGTCATTAGAAGGAAACACCGTTATGCAGAAGCCCAGCCTCTTCTTGTGGAAGGGGCCCTCTTGGCTCAAATGAGGTCTTCAGCCATAGGGAAACCTCTTCCCAAGCTGCCCAAACACTTCTTATTTTATGTTTTTGGTACCGGGGATTGAACACAGAGGCACTGAACCACTGAGCCATATCTCTAGCCCTTTTTTTGTGTTTTATTTAGAGACACCGTCTTGCGAGTTGCTTGGGGCTTCACCAAATTGCTGAGGCTGGCTGATAACTTGCCATCCTCCTGCCTCAGCCTTCCGAGTGGCTGGGATTACCAGTGTGGGCCAACACACTTGCCTAAAATTCTTTTTGCTTCTCTTCCTTTTGTCCCCGCCCCTTAGAACTTGCTTAGACTTCACTATTTTCTAATTTCTTTCTTTTTTTTTTTTTTTGTCTCAATCTCTTTCCAGTTGGCTGAGGAAACAGATTTATTCTGTAGATCAAACCAGAAGAAACAGGTAAGACTCTTGCACAGTTTTGCTGTTTTCCATGGACTCCAATTCCAAGGGGCTTGGAGCATGCTTTGTGGTGGACAAGGTCCTCGTGAGATCACACTTGGCTGATGGAGGGCCAGATACCAAGCTAGGTGCTGGGGGTTAGTGGTGACAAAATTTTCTTTTTTTTTTTTCCTCCACATTTTTAAATTGATGCATTATCATTATACAGTTGGATGGATTTGTTGTTAATATTTTTAGATGCATGCCATATGACAATATAATTTGGCTACTATCACTACCCAGCGCTTACCCCCTCCCTCGGTGCCTTCCACTCCTCTCCTCTACTGATCTCCCTTAGATTTTCATGAGATCCCCCACCCACCCTTTCTTTTCCCTTTTCCTCTCTGGTTTCCACATATTACAGAAAGCATGTGAACCTTAATTTCTGAGTCTGGCTTATTTCACTTAACAGGGTAGTCTCTAGTTCCCTCCATTTCCCTACAAATGCAGTAATTTCATTTTTCTCTGTTGTAAATTGTGATGCGATAAACATGGGATGCACGTATGTATCTGTAGTAGGACTACTTTAACTTTTAGGAAACATACTGAGCACTGGTATAGCTGGGGCCTATGGTCCATTCCTAGTCTTTTGAGAACACGTCCTACTGATTTCCTCAGTGACTGAACTGATTTGCTGTCACAACAGTATAAAGGTGTTCCTTTCCCCCCACATCCTCTTCAGCATTTATTTATCATTTGTATTCTTGATGACTTCCATTCTGACTGCTGTGAAGTGAGATTTCAGTATAGTTGCATTTCCTAACTGTTAATGATGTTGAATTTTTTTTTCATGTATTTGTTGACCATTTATGTTTCTTCTTTTGAGAACTTGTCTAATTCCATTTGCCCAGTTATTAATTGGGTTATTTCATTTTTTTGGTGTAAAATTTTTTGAGCTCCTTATATATTCTGGATATTAAGACAGAGGTCAGAAGAGTAGCTAGCAAAGATTTTCTCCCAAGTGATAGATTCTCTCTTCACATTCCTATTTGCTTACTTTGCTTGGCAGAAATTTTTAATTTGATGCTATTCCATTAATTAACTCTTGGAATTGTTTCCTGAGCTTTAGGGGTCCTATTAAGAAAGTTGTTGCCTGTGTTTGAAAGTTAGAGTGTTGGGCTGGGGATGTGACTCAAGCAGTAGCACGCTCGCCTGGCATGCGTGCGCCCGGGTTCGATCCTCAGCACCACGTACAAACAAAGATGTTGTGTCCGCCGAAAACTAAAAAATAAATATTAAAAAGTTCTCTCTCTCTCTAAAAAAAAATTATATATATAAAAAAAGAAAGTTGGAGTGTTGACCCTGTATTTTCTTCTAGAAGTTGAATAGTTTCTGGTCAAATTCTGAATTCTTTGATCCGTTTTGAGTTTACTTTTGTGCAATGTGAGACAAAAGGGTCTAATTTCGTTCTTCTACATATGGATAACTGGTTGTCCCAACACCGTTTGTTAAAAAGGCTGTCTTTTCTCCAATGTATGTTTCTGGTACTTTTGTCAAGGATTAGTGACTGTACCTGTGTGGGCTTATCTCTCTATCTTCTGTACCGTTGGTCTATGTGTCTGTTTTTGTGCCAGTACCATGCAGTTTTGTTACTACAGCTCTATAGCATACTTTGATCACCGCAGCATTACTTTTTTGGCTTAAAATTGCTTTGGCTACTCTGGGTCTTTTATTCCTCCACATGAATTTTAGGACTGCTTTTTTCTAGTTGTGTGAAGAATGTCATTGGTCTTTAGATGTACATTACTTTTGGTATAATGCCATTTTTTTTTTTTAATTTGAAGGGCCATTCGTTATAAATACTGTAGAAACATTATTATACTTTGTACAATCTACTATGCAAATGATAATATAATACTGAATATTAAAGCTTCTCTTTAACATTTCATTGTGAATAAACAACGAGTCAGAAGGAGACATGCAGAATAATCATCTATGCAATTATTAAAGTGGAAATGATACTTTCAGAATGACAATCTAATAAATTTGTTAATTCTACATTTTTCATTATGATATACTTGACTGATGTAGCAAAAGAAAGTCTCTAATGCTTGAACATCAGCATTTAAAACAAACTTGTATACAAAAAATTCTCAATATTTCATTTTGGAGGCTTCCTTACTTAATGCACAAAATCAAATTCCATTCAGTAAATACTGCTATTCCAACAATGTCCTAAAGTTTTCCAGTTGTCTGCTGGTGATCCTGGTCCATATACTGCATTCATAAAAGCCAAAAATAAAATAATATGTAAGGATGAAATAATAACTTTAAAAAAACCAATGATAATTAAAAGGTTCTAAATTTTCTATTTTGTCAAACCTTTACTGTATTTACTAAAATTTTGGTTTTGTAGACTCCGTGATACTAAATTGCCTGTTGGGTTTAGTAATTTCTCGCATCAGTTCCTGTAACTGTCCAATTTGCTCATCACGAAAGTCATTAAGTTTTTCTTCTGGGAGGGAGGTGCCAAAACATGCTCTTTCAGTTGAATTTTGTCTGTATTCATTAGCTTGTTCCCATAACATTGATGCATACACCTCCCATTCCTGCAAGAAATGCTGGGCCTTGTCAGAACCAATGGTCTTATGTCGCCTAAATCCGTCCTTCACTTACTGGTCACCCAGAGATTTAAGGTCCGGGGGTAGAACCCGGTGTAGTTGCAAGATCCGCCTATATAAGCTATGGACCTGAGAAACGTGCATACCAGGCATTTCACCATGCGCTATATGGCCATTTTAACAATATTAATTCTTCCTGTCCACAAACATGAAGGTCTTTCCATCTTCTGAGGTCTCCTTCAATTTCTTTTTCCAATGTTCTATAGTTTTTTTTTTTATTTAACTGTAGAGATCTTTTACCTCCTTGGTTAGGTTTATTCCTACATATATTATTTTTTTGAGGTTATTGCGAAGGAATTGTTTTCCTGATTTCTTTCTCTGCAGATTCCTTGTTGGTATATAGGAAAGCTATTGATTTTTGTATGTTGATTTTGTAACCTGCTCCTTTGGTGCAATTGTTTATTACCTCTCAGTCTTTTGGTGCAGTTTTCTGGATCTTCTAGGTACAGGCTTATTGTCATCTGCAAACCGTGATAATTTGACTTTTTTCTTTCCTATTTTTATCCCTTTAATTTCCTTTTCTTGTCTAATTGCTCTGGCTCGAATTTCTAGCACTATATAAAATAGGAGTGGTGAGAGGGGACATCCTTTCTCAGATTTTAAAGGAAGTGCTTTCAGTTTTTCCCCATTTACCATGAGGTTGGCTTTCGGTTTTTCATATTATAGCCTTTATGATGCTGAGGCAGGTTCCTCCGAATCCCTAATGTCTTCAGGGATATCATGAAGGGCTGCTGAGTTTAGTGGTGACAGTATATTCTGTGTGGGCTGAGCCTCCATTCCAGGGAGGATCCCAGTCCAGCTTCAGAGGGGACGTGACCCTATTCACAGACATTTGAGCACCTCTGTACCTTGGGAATAGTGGGACGCATGATCCCTCACGCCTACAGCTTGTGGTGGGAGCGAGGCTGACCGTGAAGGGGCAAACAGAGTTACTTGGCCATGGCTTGTGGGCTGGGCTGGGCAAGCACGCTGGGCAACCCCATGCAGCGTGCTGGACAGGACCTTGGTGGAGTATCCCAGTCAGCACACCCAGCACTGTGCTAGGCATTTTCTTTAACAAATATGTGGTTTTGGTTTTTCCTTAGCTGAATGTGGTGTAGTTCCAAACATCATTCCCTTATCAAGGGACAGAGTTGTTCCTGATACTTGTGTTGTTACTGTCAACAACGTGGCTCTGCAAATCCTGCCGTGTTTGTGTGAACTTGAAGGTATCCACGGGCAACATGGGCTGCTGAGTGTCGCTGGTGTGACATGTGCCTGGGCGTGGCAATGTGTGCTTCCTGCAGAGGCTGGAGCCCAGCATTGGACCTCGCCCTCTGTTAATCTGATGGGTGAAAGGCAGGGGTGTATTTTTGCTTAAATTTGCATATCCTTCTTTTGGGCAGGGTTGACCCCTTTCCTTTTCTTGGGGGTTATGATCCAGTTCTTCTTAATAATGAAAAGATGGAAGCTATTTATTGAGCACTCACGCTCAGCTGGTGGGCTCTGTGCACTTTGCAATGATTTTCTCTTTTTAGCTTCACATTTGACCTTTAATTTTTTTTTCCTTTTCATTTATTCTTGGTCTAGAAATATCTGTCATACTCAAGGCAGTAACTCAACAGCCAGCACTTCCCTCACCTTCCCAAGAGCCTTTCCATCCTTATGGAGTCCATCTCTCATCGAAGTCGGGCTTTGGGTGGCCTCTGTGGCTTCCCCTCAGTGCGGTGACAGGAGGATTTGGAGCTATTAACCATGAAGTGGTTAAGACCTGGGAACATCAGCTCAGCCCGAAGCCCCTGCCTTGCTTCTTCCTCCTGGGGTCCCCTCCCTTGTCCCCTCCATGTTCCCTGTCTCGTGCACAGATGGCCGTCCTCTGGGGACACCGGGCTGGAGCCGGTGAGGCCATGTTGCAGATTTTGTACACCCTGGTTTCCTTCAGTCTTGGAGGGGGCGCCCCCCCACTGTGTTTTCCTTCTCTGTGGTTTATGTGATTCATCATGGACACTGGCAAAGGGTGACAGAAAGAGCCATCCTGGCCGCCCCTGTCCCCACCGTGGTGGCATGGGGTTGTTGTACTGGTTTCAGATTCTGCTTCTCCTCCTTATGTGGCCAAGAATTGGCAACCTCGCTGTCGCCCAGGGTGATTCTGCAGGTCTTGTGTGGAGACCCACCTTTCCGCGCTCTGGTCCAGGCCCTCAGCAGAGAGGGCGTCCTGTCCTGGATGGGGCCCTGGTCAGGCGCTCCCATCTCCCTCCCAGTGGCTGAGCCCTGCTGCTCTGCCAACATGTGGACAATCCCACCTTTTCCGTGAGGGCAGGAGGGAGCTTGGTCAAGGAAGCTGTGAAGAGCTGCTCCTTTCAGTTCTGCCAATCTCTCACCCTTTCCTGACGCCCATATCAGTTGACTGGCTGTGAAGACCAAGCAGCCACAAGAGGAGCACAAGGACCGGAGGGCAGGCGTGGAGCTGGCCTGGTTTGGGTGGAGCCCTAAACACAGGGGCTTTGCTTGGCCCAAGCCACCGTCTGGCTTCTTAACTTCTACAGAAGCAAAATGGACGCGGCTGGTTTTGTGGAGAACTTGCTTAGCAGCCCCAACCCCCAAAAGCTCTTTGCATACTTATGGGAAGCTCTTAGCTCACTGCCGAGGTAGGGACCCCTTTTCTACATGAGGTCCCTGGGGCCAGAGAAGTTGTTTAAAGCCGCCCCGCTTGCTGAGGTTGGCACTAAGGTTTGTAGTCCCGCTGTTGGATATTTTTAAAAAATTTGTGTTATTGAAAGTCGGGGAAATCTTTCCTTCTTCACCCTGACTGGTCACTTTACAATGAAAAAGATAAGATTTTAATTTTGTTTTATTGTGGCAGAAGATAACGCCTCAGCGTCCTTCAGGCACGTGGTTCTGTGGGATTAAGGCGTTCCCAGTCTGCAGCTGACCCCCACCCCTGTCCGCTCCACAAATCTTTCTTCTTCCAAGTTGAGACTCTGGAGCCATTAAGGGGCAGCTCCCACTCCTCCCCCAGTCCTGGAAGCCCCGTGCTGTCTCTGATGTCTTTAGCCCCTCTTCTGGGTGGAATGGGGAGACATCCGTCTTTCGGCCCCGTTCACCCAGAGCAGTGTCTTCAAGGTCCGTCCCCCTGTCGCGTGTTGGAATCTCCTTCCTTTTCGAGGCAGGTGATGGTGCGCTGTGTGTCTGTCCTACCACATTTTGTCTGTCTGCTCTTCTACGGTGGGTGCTCTGGCTTTCCGCTCTGGTGAGTGTGCTGTGTGAGCAGGGGGGTGGTGGTCTCTGCCATCTCTACCTTCTGCTCTGGGTCTGCACAGAGCAGTGCAGGTGCTGGAGTGGTGGTGAGTCTCCTTGGCATCTGGAGGAGTGCTGTCCTGTTTTCCCTGGCGGTGGCACCATGAGAGGTTCCCCTAGCAGGTTCCGTTTTCCCCACCTCCTCACCAGTACTTACTTTTCTTTCCCTCCCTGCCCGCTGGGTGGATAGCGCTGAATTTGCATAGCAGAATTGGTTTCCTTTCTCCTTCAGCTCTGCAGGGACAAAGGGGCCACTGAGCTGGGCCTTTAGGGAGGTGTGGGATGGGCATTTTTTGCAGGTGGGAGACAGGTGTGGGTCCATTTATCTCCCTGAATGCAAATGGGTTTCATGTGGTTAGTAGTTGAGGTTCCAGCACAGTAGAACTCCCTGGGCAGATTTTGTTGTTCTGGGCACTGCCTCCGCCATGGGAAATTTTTAGAAGTTTTCCTTGAAGCAGGGGTTGGGAGTTAGAGAGAGGTTTTTAAATTTGGGCAAGCCTCAGAATCCCCTGAAGGGTTAGAATGCACGGGCCAAGGAAGTGGACTCAGTGGATCCGGGCTGGGGCTGAAGAATTTGCATTTTAACGAATTCCTGGGTGAGGTGGATGCTGTGGGTCCAGGAACTGTTGGCAGAAGGACCCTCCAACTGCTTGTGCAGATTGGGAGCTGCTGAACACTCGCGGCTGTTTATCATCATGAAAATTAAATAGAATTTAAAAAATCATAATCCCAGCTGCGAGCCCTTCCTATAAAGCTGGAGGGACCATCTGCTAAGGGCTACTGGTGGAGAGAACCTAGAACACGGTTTGAAAATAGTATCTCAGAGCCGGCATGGTGGTGCACGCCTGTAATCCCAGCCACTCAAGGGAACGGAGGCAGGAGGATCAAGTTCAAGGCTAGGCATGGCAACTTGGCGAGACTCTGTCTCAAAAAAACAAAACAAAAACCCCTAAAAGGGCTGGTGTAGCTCAGTGGTAGCCCTGGGCTCAGTCCCCAGGACCCTGAAAGCAAAAAACAAACAAGCAGCCCCTTGGTTGCAGAAGCCACACGAGGCCGCCGGAGGTGCCGAGGTGTGCGGAGGGCCTGGATGTGGAACGTCTTCAGCGGTGGAGAAAGTTCTGCTGCTGGTTGGGTGAATCAGGACAAACGGTTTAATTTTCTTGTGCCTCAGTTTCTTCATCTGTGAAAGAGAATAGCCCTGCCTCCCAGCTGGGGGTTGGTGGGAGGGTTCAGTGGGTTGGTCTGTGGAAACCCTGGGGCAAGGCCCGGATCATGTGTCTGTCATTGTCATAGTAGAGGTCTGCGATGGTGGGGTGGGTTTAGGGAGCTGCCAATGTCACTTGCTTGGCAGTGGCCACATGGGGTGCAGAGTTGAGGGTCCTTGGGCTAGGCACCTTCTAGCTGATGATCAGCCAGAGAAGGTGGAGCTGAGCTCCAGGAATGTCCAGTGCTGGCTGGGAACCGCACACCCAGAAGTGGGGAAGAGGGGGGCTCTAGAAGCTCTGGCTCTGGTTTTGTGGTCCAAGGCGAAGCCTTTGGGACAGTTGCGCTTAGGTGTTGCAGATGCTCTGACTCCCATGCTCTGGGTCCCAGATCTGTTCCCCTGGTCCTCAGCTCTGTGCACCTCACCCTCTCTGTTCTCGGACATGGGAAGCTTCTTTTGCCCAGTGGCAACCTGGGCTCCCGAGGGGACTCTGACGTCTCCCAGTGTGAGCCCCCCGGGACTACCAACTAACTGTTCTAGACCCTTTCTCTGCTGCCTCTGCGGTGCTGGCACCCTCGGCCCCTCCACCCACAGGAGATGAGTCAGGAGGCGTTTCTTAGTTGTGGGGGGTAATGCCCCCCACCTGCTGGCTTCTCTGCCCACTAAGCCCCACCCAGCCCTTGGGGGCTTTCTGTTCCTCTGAGCTTCTCTCTCTGGAGGCGCTGCTGCCCCTGCAGTGGGGGTGGGCAGGGGAGCAGCTCACAGGTCAAGGGCTCTGATGGCAGAGAGGCGTCAGAACTAGAGTTTAAGAAGGTGGGAGGTGGGGACTCTGGGTGGCCAGAGCATACCAGCCTTCCTCAGGGGCAGCCACCGGACGATCACCTGTGCTCCCTTCAGAAAGTAACAGTGGGGCTGAGTTCCCCGGGTGGAGGAAGCTGGGTCGTTTCCTGCCCACACCTGGGGCAGGTTCCTTTGACCCTCTCTAGTCCATCAGACGCTGGGCTCTCTGGCCGGAAGGGTCTGGATCTCCTGCCTGTGGGTCACAGACTCTAGTCTCACCTGTCCCTGTGGTGTGTGCACTCCCTGGTGGCAGTTGGATGTGGCTGCTGTGGCAGTCTGGGCTGGAGTCTGAATCTGGCGTGGGCCAGGTCCCAGCCTCTCTGAGCCTTGTCCTTGCCGGAGGAGATGGTAGTGGCTGTGCTGCCTTCAAGGGCTGTGGAAGCCAGGGACTGCACAGGGCACCTGGAGTGCACCCTGCGCCCGGCACGCACTTAGGAGTTTCAGCTGCGGTCACCACTGTGGTTGGGTGACCTCTAGTGTCCCCTTTCCTGGGAGGCACTCTCCTCTCCTCTTGAAGTGAAGCTGAGGGCCAGAGCACTGGGGGAAGTGCGTGGAGGCTGGGGAGCAGCCCTTCTGGCCGTGAGGCTGTTCTGGAGTTTGATTCTGACTCTGGCTGTGCAGCTCTGGCCTCTGGTGGGCTCCCCAGTGACCCCCACCTGTTCTGAACCCTGGAGCCACTGATGCGGGCTTCACAGGGGGCGGCCGCTGATGCCTGGGGCATAACCAGCTCAGATGCTGCCTCCCCCGCCCCCCAGCCCCTCTGGCCTTGGTAACCTGGCCTGGCTTTGAGCCCCTGTGCAGTTGGTATTGGAGGTCCCGGGCCATCTCTGGAGGGTGAGGCCAGCCCTCCTCATGGGGCATCATCCCCATACACCCGTCTCCTACCACGACCGTGGCCATCCCTGAGGGGTGGGGCCAGCCTCCGTCACTGGGGTCCCCTCCTTGAACCCTGACTGTTTGGTTCCTAGCTGCTCAGGAAGCAGCTGCCAGCCAGGTTGCTCGTGGAGGGGTGGGAGGTGGGAGGTGGGAGCATGGGGCCGGCTGAAGCCTACACTGCTGAGCCCTCAAGGCCTATGGATCTGGGTCTTTTCTCCTTTGCAGCATCAGCCTCCGAGAGTTGAAGGCCATCTTACCCCTGGTCAACTTCAAAGTAAGCGGTGCCAAGTTCCTCAAAGATAAGCTTGCGGTAAGTTTCAAAGCTGAGCCTGGGAATCGTAGGAACTCAGGGCTACGTGGTGCCTCTCCCCGGAGCCCATGGCTGCCTGGGAGCAGGAGCTCTGTGGGGCGGTGCCCAGAGAGTCCTGGCCTCCAGTGCACCTGTTCCCGTCCAGTCAGCAGATGGGGTGATAGCTGCGGACGTGTTCCCCGTCCCTGCAAGGACGTGGTGAAGACCACTGGGCCGTCCGTGGCAGAGCATCTGTACTCATTGCTCTTTTCCCTGTCGCCTGGTCTTCCTGCTGCGTAGTTTCTTCCTAGTAGCATGAACATGTTTATTTTTTGCAAAATAGTGTTTTGTAAATAAGTCCTGTTGGTGTGCTCATGAGGGATGGCTCTGGATTCCCCCCACCTGTCCTCTAGCTGTCTGTCCGTCCACCTCTCATTGAGTTTGCTTTTGTTGTCGTGTTCTGGAGCTGTTGGAGCAGGATAGTGAAGCCCCTGAGTCATGAGGGTCAGGGGGGCTTCTCTGGGTGGGGCAAGGATGCACAAAGATAATGAAGGACGGGCACCTTGTGATTTGACAGGAAGTGGGTACTGGATCTCAGGAGCCCCATGGGACTTGTGGCCATGCTAGTGTCAGCCATCATCCATAGGATTCCTCTGCTCATTCTGTCCTAGTGAGGGCCTGGGGAGCTAACCCGTTTCATGGCTGACCACGCCATGCTTTGACATACCCCACTGTCCCACACTGGTCCTCAACAGAAACAGGCGGGATTTGAGAAGAGAAGGGAGATGAGGCGAGCATTTATCATTGATCCCTGAGTGATCAGAATCTTGTTCTTATCAGGCATTTGTGTAGCCAGGCATTTTGTATCTGTTATCTTACTTGGTTTCAGGGAAGATAAGGAGGTTGGTGATGGGCCTCCTGTTTAATAGATGAAGATACTGAGGGTCTGAAAGGGTCAATTAAATTACTCAGAGCCCTAAATAGCAGTTGATTGGAGCTGAATTCTGTCCAACTTCTGATTGACAATCAGGTTTTTTTTTTTAATTTATGCTTTAAAAAATTTATTATGTATATATACTTTATAAGTATGTCTGGATTCAGAATTCCAAAGAAAGTACCTCCTGCCCACAGGAGGAGGAATTGTTCACGATGGCTCTTGGAAACCTGGCTGAGACTCTTCCCCTGGGGGCTCAAGGGAGGGCTGGCCTTGGTGGCGGTCCCTGTACGTTCTCTCAGACGGGTGACTTGGGAAACTTGTGGACAGCTTGGCTCAGAGGAACAGAGGAGGCTCTGAGCTGTCGTTGAAGGAATGATGTCCAGTTCCTGCAGGCGGGGAGGCCTTCTTATGGCGGACACCCAACACTATGTGGTCATTGTTTTTTTTTTTTTATTTACAGGAAATTGGTGCACATAAAGATGAACTCAGCTTTGAACAGTTCCACCTCTTCTATAAAAAACTTATGTTTGAGCAGCAGAAATCGGTAAGATTTCAAATGATGCTCTGTCTCCTATTTGAAGCCTGGCTTGTGTCTGAAAAACCCACAGGAAGTATCTGACCTCCCGTTTGGTCAAGGAAACATAAGATGGGAATGACAGTGACATACATTTTCATTTATTAGGTTGGCAAAAAGAACTGTGGGGGAGCTACAGGGAAAGGGACAGGGTGGTGGCTTGAGGCCTGCATCCCTTCTGGTGGGGTGTGAACCTAATCTGAGCTATGAAGGTACAGAGTGCAACGACTACTGTCTTATCTCATTCTGGAAGGAAATTAGCAAATTATTCATAGCAGCCATCTCTGCGCTGAGGGGTCACGTGTGTTTCTTATTTTAACACTTTTATTCCTATTTTTTATGTGGACTTATTTTTTCATGAAAACAGTAGACTTTTAAAATTAAGATGCACTTACATTTTGACCTGAAAGTGGCATTTTGGAGACTGTTTTGCAGGAATGAGGGACTAAGGATGTAGTCCAGATGTTTATGGTAGCTTTTCTTATGCTGCCAACATACCTGGGAGTCTTCTGAATGCCTCTCAGAAGAGGAGTAGCCTGGTGACTCATGGCCCCTCCACACTGTGTGCCTTTAAGCGGCTGATGACAGTCAGTTCTGTTTCTCCTGGCCTGGGAGGATGCTGGTGCTGTCCTGTGGGGAGGGCAAGGAGCTAGGTCTGGTTTACGAAAGCATGGCCCACCACAGCACTCCAATGTCTCTTTGCATGCAAGTTCATGAGCCAGGAGAGAGTGAGGAAGAATACGTAACTCCCACTGAATGTTGATTTCATCCATGTGCTGGATTGGGAGGGTGGGCAGGAGGAAGAAGTAACTCTTCTTTGAACATTATTTCCTCCGACTGGTTCCAAGTTGCATGTTACTTTGGTAATAAAAATGCCCTGTAAAGCATCAAGTTGAAAGATGGGCTATTCGGGGCAATGCCACGCCGTAGCTGGTGGGCGGCACACGTTCAATGTAGCTCTTGCTTTTTACAGCTGGAAAAGGCTTTGCAGACTGTAGAGGGGTTCCAGAGGGAGCTTCCAGAGAGCGGGGTGCATGTGGGACTTGGCACCAGTGGTCTCTGGTTCCTCTGGCCAGCTAGCTTTGTGATCTTGGACAAGCCCCTGACTGCACTGAATCTTAGTCTTCTCTTCTGTGCAATGGAGGTGATGAGTCCCATCCCACAGGGCACTGGGAGGGTCTGGGTAGGAGACCAGGAGTTTCAAGTGTCTGTGTGAATTTTACTAGATGATGATTATTGTCTTCTGCATGCAGGGCAGGCTGGCTATGCAGTGGGTAGTTGTTAGCCACGGAACTTCACAAGAGGTGGAGAAAGGGGAGAAGCCTTCCCTCTCTGTCTAGATTGGGGAAGACTCATATTTTGTGGAGTAAAAAATTCAATTGCTATGTGTTCACTTTTCACATATATAATAATTAATTATTGGTTTGCTAAATAAGAGTAGAAAGATCATAGGCTTTGGAGCTGGGGGAAGTGAATTCTACCCGAGTTTGATCTCTAACTGACCCGAGTGATGCTGAGGGAAGCCATCTTTATTCCCTGATGCAGCTTCTGCATCAAAATGAAGATATTAAATCAGACCAAAGGTTTCAAACTTCTAAATCTATAGAAGTCCTCCTTTAAATATGAGACCTTAATAACAACAACAAAACTGCATATTTCAATACTCTTTTAGGTCAGAATCTATTACTTTTATCCATAGTTAGTTCTTGAGGATAACAAAAGTGTTTTGATGGTGATGTGCACGTGAAATCCTGGTGATGGCCATTGCTGCCTTATGCACTTGACAGTGTCTGTCATAATTTGCCCTGAAAGTTCAGGATGCTGTCCCATTGGACTAATGGCAAAGCTTGAGAATTGGTAGGTCTGCCAAAGGCTGCTCCCCCTGCCTGCACAGGTGGGGGCCTCCTCGGTGGGAAAATTGTACCTACATTGTGTTTTTGCAGTGCTGGGGATTGAACCCAGGGCTTGGCACAAGCTAACCCTGCCCTCTATCTAACCCCCAGCCCAAGATATATTTCACCTATTATATGGGTTCTGTTTTTTATTTAAAAAAAATTTTTTGGGGGGGTTACCCTGGATTGACCTTAGGGGCATTTGACCACGAGCCACATCCCCAGCCCTATTTTGTATTTTATTTAGAGACAGGGTCTCACTGAGTGGCTTAGTGCCTTGCTGTTGCTGAGGCTGGCTTGGAACTTGTGATCCTCCTGCCTCGGCCTCCTGAGGCACCACTCTGTGCCTGGCTGTATGGGTTCTTTTTAAAGCATGTGTGTGAGAGAAGAAATTTGAGTTTTGCGGGATCCCTGAACCCCCAGGAGTATCACCTGGGTGGGACTTTGGGGAAAATTGAACTCTGCCCAAGGTTGCCCCTTGGTGGCCAGAATGCCACATTGGGCCTGCATCTGATTGAACTTGTCCTGTCCAGTGGTTTAAATAGTTTCAAAATCAAGCTTTTGTTTAAAGGTTGGGAAAGCATATATTAAAATTCAGATTTTTGGGCATCCTTAAAAAAATCGAGATCCATCTAAAAATGGGTCCATAGCTCCCCGTGGTGGTCAGCAAAAGGGAGGAATGTGTCCCATTCCTGCTTGACCCAGCCCTGCCCAGCTCTCTCCTCATTCATGTTGCCTGCCAGGCCACAGCAGTTCTGGGTATTACCATGGGAGGGTATAAAGCTCCTCTGCTGCAGTTGCAAACTCAGTGGTTTAGAATTTGAATGACCAAGCCCCCAGCTGTGTGAACAGTGTCCTGGCTGCTTGAGCTGTTCCTGGGGTGGGGGGCTCCTTGCCCCTCCCCTAATCTGCCAGCAGACTGTTCCAATTCTGAGCTGGCTGGAAGCACCGGGCAGAGAAAGGCAATAGCTTCCTGACCGAGTGGGGAGTGGGCATTAGTTGGATTTCTCAGGTGCCTTGGAGAGACAGAGCCGTCCTGAGGACTCAGATTTGAAACTGGGGAGTGGGTTTTGCTAATCAGTAGCCAAATACTTTCCAGCTTGAGGATGCCGATTCCTTCTTGTGTTAATCACCTACCTGCCTACACCTCAGTATCAAGCCTCAAGGCTTCTGAAAGTTGGGCAGCAGCAGAAAGGTAATTTAATTTCAAGTGTGCCCTCCCCATGAGGGGATATACATCTAAGTAGATTATAATAATATTATGCAGATAATAGCTTACATTTCTTTGGGTGGACTGTATGTTAGATACTGTGCTAAGTGCTAAGTACAAACATTTAATTCTCAGCCCTGTGAAAGGGGTATTGTTAGTCTCCAATTTATGGATGAAGGAGCTAAGGCTCAGAAAGGCCCCTCACTGGAGGTTACACCCCTAGTAAGCCACAGATCAAGGACTTGAGTTCTCCTGCCCAACTTTGATGCCCAACCACTGATGCTTCTTGTTGACTCTTAAAACTTTGATACTAAGTCATTTCAAACATGTACAATAGAACTTCCCAGCTACCTCCTGGTCAAGCCTGTGAGGTCCCCGGTGGGTAGAGCACACCTTGTATATAAAAGGAGAAAATGCTTACAAATGGAAGGAGAATTATCCAGGCATGGTGGTGCATGACAGTGGAATGAGATGGACATTGTTACTGTAAGTACATGTATGAAGACATGAATGGTGTGACTCTACTTTGTGTACAATCAGGCATGAAAAATTGAGCTTTATATGTGTAATATGACTTGTAATGCATTCTGCTGTCATATATAACAAATTAGAATAAATAAAAAAAGAAAAGGGCTGGGGATGTAGCTCAGGGTAGAGTACCTCTGAGCTCAATACCTAGTACCTTAAAAAAAAAAAATTAAAAAGCCTGTAAACCTACCTATGGTTGTGCCTTACATTCAATGAGAAGTTTAATGATTATGCTTGCAACTTTCCTACGGGAGCAAGTGTGGAGGGCATGAGTGATCTACATTTCTTAAAGATGCCTAGGCTGAGGGTCCCCGGGAATGGTGCAGATATTCTTGTTGATGATGGCTGGAGAGGAGGAGAGTCCGCTGGGCACAAGTTGGCAGTGACTCTCTGGTTGGCCCTTGGCCTCCTAGGACCAGAGGGTTCCTACCTGCTAAGTGCAGTGATCAGGCATGATGAGTTACAGCTCTCAAATGCTGGACTTGCCTCCATTGATGTGGAAAAACTCCATTCCCTGATCTGCATGCCTCTGGGGTCTGCTGTCCCCTCCCTTTGGCATGTCTCCTTCCAGCTGGTGACTTCTACTTCTCCTGGGACCAATTCAAAGGTGATGTCTCCTTGTCATCTTTTAGCTCCAGGGAAAGCGAACTTGTCTGTTGTTTTAGTCATTTGTTCGACTCATCTGCAGAGGCTTGCAGGACCCCAGAGGGTGCATAGAGGTTAGCATAGCACATAGCTCCCCGACCACACACGCATCCCTTGCTGGGGTGGCTGGGTCCTGAGCATTGCCCAGAGTTGTGCAAAATCCACCCTGGTCCCCTGGGTAGGGAGGATCTGACCACATCTTCCTGCTCGGTAATGCTGGGTTAAGTTAATTGCTGCCTCCATTATGTGCCTGGAGCATCTAGAATATTCTCTGATTGCTGGGATCTCACCTGTTTGACTTGCATGGTGGCATCTGCATGTGGGGCCCTGGAGATCCAGCTGGTGAAATTCTGGACCCTGGAACTGTTAGGCGTGTTCTTTTGGCACAGGTCTTTGTCCTTTCTGACCCTTTTCCTTTTTTTCTGAGAAGGGGGTATTTTATTACTTGTCTACTAGGATGGATGTGAGGAGAAGCTGGGCCTGGATCCCTCTGTTGGAAGAGCCCCGGAGGCATCATCCACTCCTGTCCTTCGCTCCCTGCCCCACGCCCGCTGCCGTCAACCAGGGTTTGAACATATTTCCAGGCAGCTTTGTCTCTAAGTTCAGAGTCCCAGGTTTGCTTCCTCCTGGGCTGCCCAAGTGCTGGGCACGGGGAGCAATGTTTTCCTCTCTGTTCTTAGCTCTTCCTTGAGGGCTCCTCCCCTTTCTGTGCCCCAGTGGCAGCTCCTACAAACGCGTATCCAGGCACCTTTGTGCATGGTCTTTGGTTGATTCAGCAAGTAGGGTGGTCCGTAAGAAGTTGGGACCTACAGAGAGGGGAAGCCAGGGTCTTTCCTGGCTCCGGGAAGCTCTGTGTCCAGTGGCACCTCCTTCACCATCCATCTCCCTCATGCACAGAATGAGGTGGAGCTCCTGAACCCTATCAACAGGAACGGGAAGGACGGGAAGGTGGGGCAGTCCCCAGGGGCGTCACCCTCTGTGCTGTCTCCAGGTGTCCTGGGTTTGCAGAGCCCCAGACCACCAGGCCTTCAGCACCAGCTTGACCTGGTGACCCAAGTGCCAAGTGAGCTCAAAGAGCAGCTGGCAAAGCCACCCCCCATTTACGGCTGTGCCATGAAAGGAAGTACTTCTGCGTTTGTCTAAAGAGTGGCCCTTAGCCTTTGGGGGTGAACTACTTCTCTGGGATGCTGATGGAAGATATGGATCATCTTTCCAGAAAAAAGTAACACACCTGTGTACACTGATGGGGACCCTCCCCTGTGCTTCCCCAGCCTGTGGGCTGCCTCTAGACTATCAGCGATATTCCTCATCCTCACAATTCCAGGTAGTTTGGCAAGAGGACCCAGGTGGCCTGGTGGCTGTTTTATATCATTAATGTTAGTCACAGGCCAGTGGCTGCATTTCCATTTCTGTTCAGAAGAATTACTCAAATACTTACACAATTGCAGTGTCCAGTCACAGACAAGGGCTGTGTGTGTGCACGCATTTGTGTGTCCAGTGCTCAGCAGATGAGCTGGTGTGAGTAGAAGCAGGAGGAAGGTGCCCATGTCACAGGCTGGTAGAGCAGAACTGAAGCCGTCTGGCCTTTCTTCCTGCTCTTGGATTTGAAGATGAGAAATACCATCTTTGAAACACTGAGGATTTGAAATGTAGCGATGCTGGGAGGGAAGGTGACATGGTCCAGTGGGGGTACCCAGCAGGGTCGATGTTTTGAGAGTGATTGTCTGGGAGCTCATGTGCAAATCTCACGCTGGGATTTGGTTCTAGGAAGATGGCCTGTGGGAACGCTGGAGCATGGGCCAGGGTGGACGTGTGTAAGCAGGGGTCTCCTTATAAGACTGGTGTGAGAACAAGTTGACTGACATGTATCATGAAATAAAATGTGGCTTTTCAAACCAGTGAAGTGGGCTGCTTGAGGTTGCAGAATCATGGGTGAAGCAGGAGACACCAGCCTGAAGTTGCGGGAGACGTGGGTGATGTGCTAAAGTGAGCTCTAGGTAGAGGAACACCCGTAGATCAAGCTCCAGGAGGAAGCCGATCTGATCACAAAGAGCGGTCGCTTCTCAGGAGGAGGACTGATGAGGGAGGGAGACTTCTCCCTTTTGCTCCAGAAGTTTCTGTTCCATCTAAATGGTTACAGCTAACATGGATTCCCGTGGTGATATTTTAACAAGTCTTTTTGTTGGCATCGTGTGACTTTTCCAATATCATTTTGTGCATGTTTTCCTTTTCAGATTCTTGACGAATTCAAGAAGGACTCTGCGGTGTTCATCCTGGGGTGAGGCACCTCTATATGTCATTGCTTTTCAGGTTAGCTATGCCTTGGGTGCAGCTGGCCTTTGTGAAGGGACACCACTGTGCCATTACTGATCTTCAGGGACAGGGTCCCTGGCAGGGGACCGGCCAGCCTGAGCAGGTGGCATGGGAGCGGGGCCACAGCAATGGGGTGGAGAGTGTTGGGTGGATGGTCCAAAAGGCTCTACAAAGAAGCCTGTGTACCTCGGGGTTCCTTCCTAGAGTGTGCTTCCTGGACTTGACAAGTTAGCAGGGTTCCTACAGAAGCTAAAGTGAGGTTAATGGAGATTCCTGGTTAAGCAGGTTGCATTGAATTAAAGTGGGTGAAGCGTGTACAGTGCCTCCTGATGCCGGGCACATGGTGAGGACTCAGGTCTATGGTGACAGCGTTATCCAAAGTCAGTGCTGTAGGACTCGTCAGGACTTTTCTGTGCCTCAGGAGTCCCCAGGTGGGGGATTTGTCAGGGGTCTTGTGTTTCCCAAGCCTGTCTGACCGGAAGCGTTTGCATGGAGTGAAGTGGCACCTAGAATATGGCCTGTAGGGCACCAACAGTCCTCAGTGAGGAGTGACTTTCCCTCTGTCACTCTCTAAACTAGAGCTCCAAGATGCCAACGGAGGTGTCAAATGAAGACTTTCAGAGTTTGGGTGGAAGGGTTAGTGTGAGGCCTGGAGGCTGCTCAGGAATGTCTTTGTAACAAGTCTGAGACAGCAGACTTGTGACTCTTGGTGTTGGTAAGGGGAGTGGCTCCAGCCCGTTAGGTCTCCCATGTAGTGTAAATCCACCTCTTTACCACCCTTTCGCGTGTGCTCGGGCAGCTCTCTCCTCTGTGGAGTGTGCTTCCCTGGAAACCAGCAGAGGCTTGTGCCCATTCAGTGAGGTTTTGGGCTTTTGGTAGCTGCAAATGTCCTCTCCTGGAAGCGGCTGCCCACAGCCTGCTGGGGAAGGGGCCCTGCCTGTGATCAGAGTGAAGGATCCCTCTGTCCAGAGGAAGGGTCTCCAGACCGAGGGCCCCTGCTGGCTCCCTGGCAGAGTCCTGCACTGCAGCTGCTTCTCCCGTCTTCAGAGCCCCTGAGGGCTCGGCACACTCTGAGGAGGCCTAGGCTCTGGTCCTTTTGCTCCTCTAGCATCAGCTCCTGCTAAATGGGCTCCACATGTGGCCCTGTCCAGCAGGGGCTGTGCACACTGTGGCCCTGAGGTCCTGCCCTCCCTGCCTCCTGGCCCCCACCTTCCCCTCTGGAATCGTCCCCTACCCCTCTTCCTTGGGCCCCTGCTGGACACTTTTCATCTCCATCCCACTCACCCCTCCTCACTCTCTGGGGTCGATGCCTCTCCTCCAGAAGGCCTCCCTGGCCCTCCAGGTCTGGGTGGGGCCCTCTGGGCTCTCCCCCGGGCAGCACCTTCCTGCCTCATCTCTCTTGCTTGGTTCCTCGGTCTTCTCTGTGGCCCTACTTCATACTTCATCCCCAGACTTTGGATGGCACTGGGAATGGCCAAATGCAGAGTCCAGGCTCCACTTTCTGAGATTCTGGTGTTAGGGCCCCTCCTTGAGTCCTCCTAGGTCAGGGACTCTGTGTCATTCACCTGCATCATCTGGGGGCCAGCCTGGTACCTGGCAGAGTGGGGGCTGGGCACTCTGGGTGGAGCGGGGGCCTCTGTTGATTTTTCTCTCTCTAATGTGCTCTCTTTCCCTGAGGGCAGCAACACGGATCGGCCGGATGCCTCTGCCGTCTACCTGCAGGACTTCCAGAGGTTTCTCTTACATGAGCAGCAGGTGAGAGAATGGCAAGGGTACTGAGACTGGGGGTGCCTTCAGGGGACACCGTGTCCACCTGGCCTCTGACTGTCATAGAACAGCAGTAGCCTCTCTGACCGTGGTGCCTCGTGCTTTAGGCTGGTGTTGAAAGCTCTGTGACGGGTGGTGACCTGGGGTCTGAAGTCTCCCTCGCTGCACAGCCTTGGGCAGGGCGCTCAGCCTCTCTCAACCCATTTCCTCTTGGTAAATAGGGATGAGAGCTCACACTGCTCCGAACCATGGGGGGGTCAGAGAAGATTGCAGTAGGGCTGTGTGTACGTGTCTGTCCACACAAGTATAGTTGCATGATTTTAAAATTTCTCTTTATATTACTGGAGTCTCATTGACGTTTTCCCTTATTTATTTGACTTCTTTATCTTTTTGAATAGACTTTATAGTTTTAGAACTGTTTAAGGTTCACGACAAAATGAATTTCATTTACATAAAAATACTGAGTTGCCAGATATTTCAAACATACACAGAAGTAGATCGCGAACCATACGTCCCCATTACTCAGACTTAGAATTAGGAACATCTTGCCAGTTTTATTTCACCTCCCTCCCATCTCCACCCGAGTCTCCCTGACCTGCCCCCTTCTCCGTTCCTTTGCTGAACTCTGTGGCCTGGATTTTGTAGCCTTTGACTTATAAATGCTTCAGTAGCTCTCTTGCACAGAAGGGGACTTGTTTTTAAAAACCACAGCCACAGTCCTCCTATTTCACCTGACACAGTGAGCGGTTTCTTGGTGTCTGCCACCCAGTACCCTGCCCGGGTTTGGGTTTCGTTGATGGTAGAGAGGCTAATGACAGGAGGGAGGCACGTTTTGCATAAGGGCCCAGGCAGTGGCGGCAGGTCCCTGGCGCTCTGGGCCATGGTGAAAGAGGACTTTGATGGGTGTTGTGCCCATCATACCCTGCTTGTGTAGGGCCCAGGGAAAGTGATGGAGGTAGGTTAAAAGGAAGGGGGAAAATTAATTCTGTTGGGCACAGTTACTTGTGAGATTCTTTGCTCTTCTTTGCTTGGATTGTTCAGTTTTGCAGGGAACTTTTGGAGTTAAGTTGATACAATTACTGATACCAGTAGCCAGGATGTTCCAGAACTTCCCAGTAGGCTGACTTGGGTGTAGATTTAGCCCCACCTAGTGGTTACCTACTGTATTGCAGGATTCCCCCGGTGGGCCCCAGCGGCTGGGTGCCCTTAGAGCTTAGGGTCATAGGGCCAGGAGCAAAGGGCAGGGGCGCTCTGTGCACCTGGGGATCTGTGTGACATTTTTTTAGGGTGGTGGTGCTCATATAAAATGGCTACTATAGTACTTTGTGCAAATTATTACAACTTTTCTAGAACCATTTGGCTATGTGCTGTTAAGATGAAAACACTGAACCAAGATGCATACACTTTTATTAAATAGTTGCCCTCCTAGGCACATGTCGTGAGGAAATAACAGTATTCTAGTAGGAATGGAAACCGGGAGCCATCCACGTTTCTAGCAGGGGCCTGGCTAAGTATAGCCAGCCCTGGGTGTTACTCCACAAAAAGGGGTTGAAGTTCAGCCCCTAGAGCCCCTGTGCCTGGGTTTGGTTTCAGCTTCCCTATTAGGTCCCGTTATTTAACACAGAGGCCTCTGTTCCCCGTGTATGTTGCGTGGAGAGTATCACACACCCTCTGGAGTCCTGGTACATCCTGGATGAGTCACTCTGCTGAGAGAGCTCAGCAGAGGCCCCGGCAGAGCCAGTGCCCAGGGTGACTGCCAGCACCATTTATTTTTATTTTCGTCATCGTTCTTTGTCGTTTTCATTGTCGCAGGTGCTTAGTGCAGCCACCCACATCATGTAGATGCTTTTTTCCCTCCTAGAACATTGAATTGTCGTCTCCCTCAGGCAGAGGTCTCTTTGTGCACAGCCAGTCCAGTGTCAGATTATATTTGCTAAGAACTGTGCCTTTTAATAAAATCAAATGCTTCGTGGGGATGGAAGGAAGGGAGCCAGGTCCGGCCTCTTTGGGACATCTGGGCCAGCAAGGGATTGCCATCGGTATCCTACCACTGAAGCTTCACGTTGCCTATTCAGAGATCTAAGGACCACATGGAGATGAACTCACTGCTCCCAGCCTCCGCCGTTCTGTGCCGCAGATCCCGGCGGATTTGCATGAGGCCTTGGCAGGGCTTGTTGTGGTTTTGCATCCCGTGCCAGCAAGGCAGGTCTTCGCCACGCCATTTGCACCTGTGCTTCAGCTTTTTGTCTTTCCTGACACCCTCCTCTGACCCTTCCCATCCAACCACACTCACGTCTGCCAGCACATTTGCTTTTATTATCCATAAGGACAGAGGTTTTAGGATATCTGAAACCCACAGTCAAAGCTGGAGTGTGTGCCACAGTTCATTCCTTTTGCCTGTGAATGTTGGGGGCTTGGGGGTTTGGGGGTGTGGAGAGGAAAGCAGAGTGACTGTATGCGATATGTTCTTTTCCAAAAGGACTTTGGAATTCTAAGACTGCAGAAGCTGTTTTGGAACTGGCTGGGTATATTCCAGGCCTTAGCCATCTCTGAGCAGCCTTGCTTGGCTGACTCCCTGAAAAGAGGGCATGATCAGATTCTATTTCCACTCTCCAAAGTTTAGTTACTTGGAAACTGGACTCTGCCACTTATGAGTCCTGTGGACTTGGGGTCATTTTTTAATGGACCTGGGCTTCTGTGTTCTGTCTCTAAAATGACAGTAACAGTATAGGACTTGCAGCCTTGTATGGGCTGAAGATGGCCATTGGGGATGGTAATTATTTGTACAAACTTTCATGAATTGAGAGTGTGCCAGGTGCCACGTTAAGCCCATAACCACCTTCTATGCAGTCCCTTGCTGAAGCGTGCAGCAAACACTATAATTTCAATTTCATGAATGTGGACACACAAAGAGGGCATATATCTTGCCTAAGGTTGCCCTTATGGAAGGAGAGGACGAGCCAGGCAGGTAACCCTGGCAGGCTGACACAACCGCCATGCTCCTTGGCTGCTTTATAGCAACCAATGTAGCAGACTATTTCAGGGCATGCATCGGCAACCAGCTTATGGGTCAAGTGTAGCCCTCTTCTTGTTTTTGCAAATAAAGTTTTATTGGAACATAGCCACGCCCATGTGTCTCATATTGTCTGTGGCTGTGTTTGCACAGGCAGTGGTTGAATTATCACCCTGTGGCCTGCAGAGCCTAAAATATTTGCTCTTAGGTCCTTTATAGAGTCTATTTGCTGACCCCTGGCCAAGACCTTGATATGTGGCCCCTGATGGCCAAGGATGGCCAAGGAATTCAGAATTGGTCAATAGTTTGGTCTTTACAACTGGATAGATCCTGAGTGGTGAGGAATTTTGTCAGTTGTCATTTTGGTGATTTCTTGTTCTCTTTGTAATTTCCAGGAGCTGTGGGCTCAGGATCTGAACAAGGTCCGGGAGCGGATGACCAAGTTCATCGACGACACAGTGAGGGAAACTGCCGAACCCTTCTTGTTTGTGGATGAGGTGAGTGGGGAGCTCGCTGCTGTGTGGGCACGGCTGGCTGTGCCTGTGTCCTCCAGGGTTTGTTTCCTGGGTCTCTTCCCTCGGAGGGCACTGCCGTCAGCTGCCCCGGGTCCCTCTGTCTCTGAGGGGCTCCCCAGGTTTGGGGTTGTTCCTGCCTTGCCTTTCCTGTGCCTGTTCCCTGTGTGGCTGTGTGATCTGCCACTAGAGGGCGCTGCCACCAGGGAAGACATGTCACTGTGAACAAGATTGAAAAGTGTGGCTGGGGCAGGGATGGCTGTGTCCACCTTGCTCAGGGCAGCAGGGGAGGCCCGAGGCCGGGAGGGTGGGGGAGGCTCTCCCAGGTAGAGTGCAGCCCGGGTCACTTGGGCTTCTGATTTTTTTTTTTTATTTTAAGGAGCTAGGTGTTGGGATAGGAAGTGTCCTGCCTTTGGGTAATGTGATTCTGGGAACATTCTGGGTTTTCAGTTGGGTGGCGAGTTCACAGACGTTTGTTACTGTAATGACGGAAAACTTCTGTGTAGGAAGCAAACATTTTGGAATAAACATTAAAAAAGAAAACATTGCAGAGAGCAGGAAGCCCAGGGTGGCTGTGGCCTTATGCCACCTGAGCCGGTGTGTTGAGAATCCGGGAAGCCGTGTGTGGGTGCATGTGTCAGAGCTGCCCTCTCCCTGTGTGGGCACAGAGCAGAAACAGCCAGACGGGGTCCTCAAGCCACGGCTCTGCCTCTGTTTCTCTTTCAGTTCCTCACGTACCTGTTTTCACGAGAAAACAGCATCTGGGACGAGAAGTACGATGTGGTGGACATGCAGGACATGAATAACCCCTTGTCGCACTACTGGATCTCCTCTTCCCACAACACGTGAGTTTCCTGCCAGCCCGGTGGCCCGGGGGCCAAGGGGCCAAGTGGCCGGTGCCCCAGGGGGCTGCCCTGGCAAGGCCTGTCACACAGGGTAGAGAGGGAGTGCCAGTTGCTCACACTGGGATGTGCAGAAGCTTCTGGAAGGGGTGGGGGACACAGCTTCCTCTCCAAATTGGTGTTGGAGTAATAATCCTTTGTCGATGGCCCTAAACCCTAAGTCGGCAAACCTGCCTTTTTGCAAGTTGGGCGTCTCAGTGGACATAGCAAAGCAATTCAGTTGGCCGTTGACTGGTATTTATGGAGTGTCTGCTCTGGGCCAGGCCCTGTCCCTGGTGGGTGCAGAGAGAGAAAAGAAAGGTGGTAGGCTGTGCTCTCTCAAGTGTCACTGCAGGTGGTGGGGGGTACTGAGAAAAGGCCTGTGGGTACGTCATCCTCTGAGTATCTCAGAGTGAAGTATTTCAGGGGCAAATCGACTCCATGGTTCTGTCTTCCCTGCCCTGTTCATTCTTGTCAGTGGGTTTTCCCAGACGTAGGAGGAGACAGTGAAGGGACACAGTCCCTTGACACGTGGGTGGCCGCGGTGAGGAGTGTATGAGTGTCCCTGTGGACATTTGGTGGGCGTGGCTCACAGCAATGAAGGCCACCAGCTGCTGCTGGGCACCTACTCTGTGTGGCCTGCAGCGCTGAGAGCATGCTGAGGGCCAGCACTGCTGACAGCCAGGCCCAGTGGGCGGCCGTGGGGCCTTGATTTATCATCTGCTCTTTCTCACTCCCGAAACCCTTTGACCAAGTTCTAGAAAGAACACGCCATCCCAGGCTCTGGGTTGCCAGGGGCCATCATTCACTTCTGGCAGGTGGCCTATGTCTAAGCTAGTGACCAGTGCAGCCCTGGGACTGTGTGTCTGACCGGGCCTTGGTTCAGGCATTTCTAGACAGGGAGAACTTAGAGCTGTGGGGACTAGGGCTCCGATGTTCCCAGGGGACACCTTGAGGTGCATGGCTGCCCTGCGTGCTCCCTCCCCTCATGGCCACCCACTCTCCTGTCTCAGGTACCTCACAGGTGACCAGCTGCGCAGCGAGTCGTCCCCGGAAGCGTACATTCGCTGCCTGCGCATGGGCTGCCGCTGCATCGAACGTGAGTAGCCCGTCCTGGAGGAAGTGGCACAGCCACTGGGGCCACTGCCTCTCTAGCTGCTCGGAGCTTTTTGGGTTTAAAGGGTTGAATCAGAGACAAGCAGGACAGGCCGAGGGAGGCCTGGTGCCAGGAGTACCTATAGTGAGGGAAGTGGCAAGGACCTTTCCCTGGAAGACACCCGTCTGTCCCCGAGTCAAGGAATGACTACTCAAGCCTCGCCCAGAATGCTTTGGGCACCCAGAGAGTGTCCCAAAAGAGTGGGAGGCTGGGCCACCCCCTGCTTTTAAGAGAAGGCAAGTCAATGCCCTCTACTTCTAGCACTGGTTCCCGTGTGCCCAGGCACCGCGTCTCACCACTATTGGGGCATTCGTGAGCATTTATGGAAAGGACAAGCAGGGTCTCCATGGCTGGGCTGATGGCACAGGCCTTATTTCTGTGCTGCCTTTTTGTCATCTGTCTGGCTTTCTCCCTTCCAGCCTCACTTAATCTCAAAGGTTCCTAGGCAGATGTATTAGTCAGCTTCTGCTTACTGTCGCAAAAGGCCTGTCATAATTATAAAGACAAAAGGTTTATTTTGGTTCACAGCTCAGATGAAGCCCATCATGGAGGGAAAGCATGGTGGAGCAAACCCTCTCACATCATGTGCTAGGAGGAGGGAGGGGCTTGTGTCCCACAGTCCCCTTCAAGGATATGCCCTCAGTGACCTGAAGACCTCCCCCTAGGCCACACCTCCTAAAGGCCCTGTCCCCTCTGATTAGCACTCCCCTCAACTCTGGGACCAAGCCTCTAACACTGATGTGTTTGGGACAGCATAGCAGTGGATTTGGCTGGAAGAAGGCATAAACCAGGGGTTCAGATTCCAGTGTTACCAAAAACACTCACCATGGTATAAAGTTTAGTAGTAATTATTCTATAGATTCTCCCAAAAAGCAAATGTGAAAAAATAAGTCAGAATCTCTTAGCTTAGGTGAGGAGAGGGTTGAAAATTTGGGGGTCGCTCACCTCCATAGTCTGCTTCTGTTTGAATATTTCACCTGAACCTTTGACAGTCTTTTCATGCCCTCTGTTACTTCACTGGCCGAAAGGCAAGCAAGGCTTCCCCAGGGGATGTGGGAAAAGCAGACACACTGTGGAGAGCTTAGTAAAAAGAGGCGTTGGGACTATTTCTCTTTGGAGAAGCATTGGGTTATATGAGTGGGCGGGTAACCCCAGGTACACGGTGAATCCCTGTGTGCCTGGGGGTGCTCCTCGGAGTCCTGGTTCCTGGGCTGCTGTGGGAGCAGCCCTGACCTTGCTGCCCTTGGCCCGGATGGCTGCTGCTGAGCTGCCCTGTTTCTCCCGTAGTGGACTGCTGGGACGGGCCCGACGGGAAGCCCATCATCTACCACGGCTGGACGCGGACCACCAAGATCAAGTTTGATGACGTCGTCCAGGCCATCAAAGACCACGCCTTCGTTGCCTCCAGGTCAGCTGGCCAGTTGCCTTTAAGGGAAAGTGGCTAGTGTGGGACAGACAGACACACACACTGAACTGCCCACCCCCTCCTTCCCCAAACACTGTGGGTCTGCACCTCCTCTTGGCCAAAGTCACTACCAGGGGCTGGTGAGAGGTCCACGGTGGCCTCAGTGGCGTGATGCTCTCTTTGACGTTCCTGGCAGGTAACAGCACCATGAGAAGGGACGCTGGGATCTCTCTCGGAGTCTGAATCCCGCTCTGTTCATTAGCAACCTGATAGGCACTCACCGTTCACTGCTGTGGTTCCCACATCTTAAAAACAGAGGTGATAATTACGCGTACCTCACAGGGCGGCAGTGAAGACTAGACACGGTGATATCTACCCAGTCCTTGCACTGTGTCTGAGTGTTTTTTCCTACCTGGTATGTGAAAGAACGATTAAGGCTTGCTGTTGGAGAAAATGCCCGTTCATTGAGGAACAGCTCTGCATATTTATAGAGCCGGGGGTGGTTTGACAGTTATGACAGTTTAATGGTTGAAGGGTTTGACAGTTGGCATGGGGTGCTTTCTGATTGGTGGGTAAGGATCATGTGAGCCAGCAGGGCTCACCATTGGACAGCTCTTCTGGGGGGGATGGGGAAGTTAGTCTTTGGAGCTGGGGCGACTCCCAACAGTAGGAAACCTTTAAATCAGTGCACACACAGTCTGCATTTCGGCCTCTCTCCCAAGAGCCTCAGCCCTTGCTTGTGCTGACTTCCACTGTCTGTGAAGCCATGAAGGACCCCGAGTTAACAGAGATGGTGAAATCAATCAGACTCTATTAGCTTTTTGTCACTGTAACAAGATATCCTAGATAATGAAATTATAAAGGGAAAAGGGTTATTTTGGCTCAAGTTTTGGAGGTTCCAGGCCATGAGTGGCCCCGTTGTCTTGGGCTGTAGTGAGGCAGCACTTCATGGCAGAACAAGACCACTTACATGGTGAGCCAGGGAGCAAAGAGGAAGAAGAGGAGGCCAGGGTCCCACAGTCCCCTTCAAGGGCTCACTCCTGAGACCTAAGGACTTCCCACTAGGCCCCATTTCTTAAAGGTTTCCACCTCTGATCTGCCACCTGGGGACCAAGCCTTTGGGGACATTCAGCCTTCATGCCATAGCAGACTTCTTGGGGAGAATGCTTTGATTTCACAGTGCTTGTGGCTGGGAGTGGCTGTGCAGTCACAGGGCATGGCCTTGCTCATAGCTGGGGGAGGGCTTTGTGGTCAAAAAGGGGACCTGCAAGGCTGGACCCTATAGTCAAATACATTGTTTTGTGGTAAAATGGATGAGTGTTCATATTAAGAAGGATTTTTTAAAAAGATTATAAGCAGCATCCATTCCATTCAGAGTTGGCTCCCAATGGAGTTTTCTGTGTCTTCTTTGTTCTGGAAGCTCGGCTGTGTGGACCAGGATGGGGGCTTAAATCTGTTTCCCAGGATTGTCTTGAGGTGAAACGTGGCTAAATGATTTTATTTTAAAGCCCCCCCCTTCCACGTGTACTCTGCTTTCCACTGGTGCTGCGGCTTCCTATTTATGGTAGAGACACACCTGCCTTCGAAATAGTTTTGCTTCATAATAAATGCATTGCACAAACCTCAGATGGATTCTAGATGGAAAGAACCTAGCTATATATTACATTTCTTCGCTAGTTGGGGAAATTTGAGTATGCACTATCTATTCAGTGATATTGAATTAATGATAATTTCCTGAGTTCAGTAATGGTGGTGTGGGCAGGCAGGAGAGTGGCCTGGTTCTTAGCAGATATAGGTGGGGGGATTTCTGAGCCTCCTTTCAAATGGCTCAGGAAAAAATGTAAATGTGTGCATGTATGTACCTTGGGCACATTACAAATCATATATAGGCATAGATATACTTGTTCAAATGATACACACACATATAAAATCAGTTCTTATTGGTGGCTTCTGTATTCTAAAATTTATTTCTAACTCCAAATTGCAAAGCACTTTTGAGGTCATTTCTGGGCATGTGACAAGTGGTGGGAAATTTGAGTCATCTGATGCGCACGTGCCCAGCTCAGATGCAGAGATGCTTTGCCTTCTTGTTTTCAGGCCTTGAAATGCAAACAAGTGTCCTTTTGGTCGTCTCTCTCATGCCATGTTTTTCATATTTTTGAACTTTGGCTGGTGACTTCACCTTTTGAAGTGGCCCCAAGCACAGGGCAGAAGTGCTGGGTGGGGTTCCTGAGAACGAGAAGGCTGTGATGTGCCCGAAAATCCATGTGATAGATCAGCTGCCTTCAAGCACAACTTCTAGTTCTGTTAATGAGTCAGCAGGATATACTGAATGAGGTGTCTTCAAACAGAAGCTCATTAAAAAAGGTCTTCAAATTAACAGTTGATAAAAATGTGACCAAAGGCTTGAAAGATTCTAAGCCAGTCTTTCCCCTGAGGAGCAGATGGCTCAGGTCAGTGTTGGCAGTGACTCATGGACCATGGCACCCACAGACAATGAGATTCAGCTGTACCTGCACACACAAAATGTGCATGATGCACACATACACAAATAATATATCAGTATATACACGTGCATACAATGCACATACGTGTGATAAATGAACATAACAAAACAATTACACTTTATAAAAATGGGAAAAAATAAATAGGATAAGCAGGTGCACCCAGGAAAATGCTAACACTGGGGCCTCTAGTTGACACATGAGTACTCATTGTACTGTGTTTTCACCTCTTTTGTAGGTTAGAAGCTAAAACTTCGGGGGCTTTTTTATTTTTATTTTTTTAAATTTAAAGATGTGCATAAGTTAAAAGAAAAGCACCGAGAAAAGTTGCTGTAGTTTGTACCTAGACACAATGAACATAGGAAAGTGGCTGACGATTGCTCTGGGGTCAGCAGGGCCTGAGTTCTGGCGCGGTGTCCACCTCCTCCGCTGAGCCAGGGCGCAGGCGTCATGGGTCCGTGTGGGGCAGCCGTGGAGGTGCCCGCCCCGCTCCTGAACTGACCCTGCCCTACTGCTGCAGCTTCCCTTTGATCCTGTCCATCGAGGAGCACTGCTGCGTGGAGCAGCAGCGCCACATGGCCAAGGTCTTCAAGGAGGTGTTTGGCGACCAGCTGCTGACAAAGCCCACGGAGGCCAGTGCCGACCAGCTGCCGTCGCCCAGCCAGCTGCGGGAGAAGATCATCATCAAGGTAGGCCGCCTTGCTCCAGGTGCTGCTCTCCTTACCAACTTCATGGCCTTGGGAAGGCCACTTACCCTCGAGGTGCCTCTGTGTCCCCCTGGGTTTCAGGGGTAATGTAGAACCTATCTCCTTCGCCTTGGTGCACTAGCAATTGCGGCTACGTCCCGCGCAGGTGCTCTCCACGCACTGACTGGTGATTGGTCTAATAGGAATCTGTGATTGCTCATTTGTTCTTTGGCACCACGCCCCTCTCCAAGTGACCCCAGGAGCTGTTCCAATCATCCAGTCCCCAGGCCTGTGAAGGAGGTGGATACTGTGGGACGACGGTCCTGGGCCTAGTGATGCCAAGGGAACATTGGGGTATTTGTATTAATAGGATGGAGACCAGAAGCAATGGCTTAGAGTATTTGAAACCATTTCTTATTCATTTGAAGGAGAATGTTCTAGGAGCTTTGAGCTCCAGCCTGCAAGGTGACCCAAGACCCTCGCCACCTACTCTCCCATCTCCCAAGCGGTTTAGCTAGGGCTCTACAGATCCCGAAGAGCCCCTGGCTAGGATGGGGGAGGGCAAATGAACTTGAGTGGGAAACGCTGCATCTTCTTTTTGGAACCGGTCTGTAAAGCTCGGGGCTTCCTTCCATTGTGAGTGTCAGCAGCAGGCCACCTGGGCTTTGTCACCAGCAGAAGGAAGGCACAGATACTTTCATATCACATTCAGTTATTGCAGATATCTCAAAATAACATTGTGTTTGTTACCATGTGGGAATTATGGAGGTGATTAGATCTGCCTGTGCATCTTATTTAAGATGCTAATGAGGAAGCATGCCTATTACTATATTGAATTATTTTTTATTTAATATCTTAATAATTGTATTTCAGTATAATTGGCTTCCCTTATAATTGTATGCATTGTTAACATTCTGAGAATGGGATCTGTAGTTTTCCCCACAGCACAAAAATGAGGACAGTCTGCCCGGGAGCCTGGTCCTCGTTTGTGGGGGAGCTGAGGCTTGGCATGTCTGATCCAGCTCACTCAGGGCGGCATGCTGGGCCTCTGGGGCAGAGCATTTCCTGTGAGCAAGAGCTGTCTGTTGTCCATGGCTCTTCCTTTCATGGTCAGTGCATGTGAACTCTGTGCATGACCATCCAATGGGGGCCGAATCTGAGTGCTGTACCTGGCAGCTGTTAGGAGGGAGATGGATTTTGTAGACAACTAGCAAGGCCACAGGGAAGGATGGACAGGTCTTCACCAGGTGCCTTGGTCCACCTTGGCACTTGTTTGGGCTGCTGTAACCAGTATCATATGCTGAGTGTCTATCAACAAATTAACTTCCCATTCACTGTTTTGGAGGCTGGGAAGTTTGAGGTCAGGGTAGCACTGCAAAGGCCCTCTTATGGGTGTAGACTGCCAACTTCTTGCTGTGCTCATGTGGTGGCGGGGGCAGGGCAGCTCTCTGGGACCTCCTAGGAGGGCACTAATCCCATTCATGCCATCTTTACCCCGGGATCTTACTCCTCCCAAGGGCCCACCTCCTGATACCATCACATTATGATTAGGTTTCAACATATAAATTGGGGGGGGGGGACCCAAACATTCAAACTACAGCAATAGGCAGGGAAGGGGGGATACCCTTCCAGATGGGGGAAATAACAAATGTGAGGGTATGGCCATGCCAGCACATGGCACATTCCCTAAATTGTCACTGGGTCACCAACAAACATTGGGCACAGTCCCTCTGTTGTAGGAGGTCTGGTATTGTGGGGGACAGATCTGCCAACAGAGAGAGACTGGACAATGTGAGGGGGCTTTCATCAAGCCCACCGGATGAGGGGATATTGGTGTCCTGTGGGTAAGAGTGTCAGTGCACTGGGACTGTTGGGTCAACACCACGGGCTCCTCGGGCGGTTGTCACTGAAACACTCCCTGCATGGTGAAGGCGGACCAGGTGCATGGGGGTCTGGCTGGCAGGGGTCCAGGGCTCCCTCAGCATCTGGCAGGTGGGGCTTCAGGGGGCCTGTCTCATTTGCTCCTCTCTGTTCCTGGCTCACCTGAGCACATGAGGTAGTGACTGTTCTCTGTGCATTTGTTGAGTACTTACTATCTCTAAGTGCTGTTCTAGCACACAACTCAACAGGAAGCAGAACAGAATCTCTTCCCCATGGGCTTATATTCTCACAAAAAAAAAAAAAAGAAAAAAACCAGACTAAAGACAAGCAGATGTCCTTGGGGCCAAGAATATGAGAAAAACAGAGCAGGGCTGGAGGGTGGCAGGGATGGGAAGGTGGTGTGGCCTGTTTTTGGACCGAGTGGTAGGCACGGCCCCTCTAAGGACAAAGCCCCGAGGACAGAGCTGAATGCAGTGGGAGATGACCAGGCAGCGGAACAGACAGAGCCAAAGCTCTGAGGCAGGAGGATGCAGGTGGCGGTAGCTGGCTGGCTGATGGGGAGGAGTTCTCGCAGGTTCCAGATTTTCAACATGGGTTTTGAGAGAGACTGTGTGAATTTCTTTTCCTTCAGCATAAGAAGCTGGGCCCTCGAGGTGACGTTGATGTCAATGTGGAGGACAAGAAAGAAGAGCGCAAGCAGCAGGGTGAACTGTACATGTGGGATTCCATCGACCAGGTGGGCCTGGGTCCCTTCCCATGTGCACTGTGGATGTGGCTTTCTGCACCCTTCTTAGAGCACCACTGGGGGACTCTGAAATTGTGCCTATCTTGTTCCCATTTTAAGCCAATTAAACTTTTCCATTTGCATTTTTGTCTTATTTTGAAATACTTTTATATTAAATGTAATATGTATTTACACAGTAGTTGAAAAACTCCCATATATCCTTCACCCAGTTTCTCCAAATATGAGCTTCTGCACAACCCTGTACAGTATAATGATCAGAACCAGGAAATTAACAATGGTATAATACTGTTAGCTAACTTACCTTATTTCAGCTTTACAAGTCTGTCTGCTGACGTCCTTTCTCTGTTCCCCATGGCACTATATTTAGTTGTCCTCCAAGCTGGAATAGTTCCACTAGAAATCTTATTTTTTTGTGTGAGTAAGGCATTTAAAACTGTTAGGGCCTCTTCTCGTGTCCTTTAACCTAATAGGCAAATCCATTTGGGTGTATTTTTATGTATCTGTTCTTACATTTCTAGAAATAAACATAAAGGTGGTTAAAATTTATGGTAAATAAAAAGTCATAATTAAATGTTGCAGAAAATATCTTTAGACTCACTGGCTGAAAAATCCAGAAAAATCTTAAAGTAGACGCGACAGGAAAAGATAGTCATGTGGGGCATGAAATAATCCCATCCATCATGAAAGGCTGCAAATTAAATATGCAGGAGAAAATTTGACATTAAGTCGTATCTACTCCTAGACACACTGATTTAAAAAGTCCCGAGAATGATAAAAGAAGTAAAAAATAGATGTCTTAAAAAAGAAATGTCTCAGAGGGGAACAGAATCATGGAAAGCACCATAAATGTCTGAACCTGGGAGGGGGAATCCCCAGTGAATGCTGGGGAGGTGCCCTGCGGGGAGGGCCCTGGGTCCCAGAGTTGACGGGGTGGAGACCTTGGGGGACTGATGCCAACTTTGCCCTCTAGAAATGGACTCGGCACTACTGCGCCATTGCCGATGCCAAGCTGTCCTTCAGTGACGACATTGAACAGACTGTGGAGGATGAACTGCCCCAGGTAGGCGGAGACCCCGCTGCTCCTGTCGACTCCCCTGGACTGCCTTCTTGCTGGGCCCTGGTGCCATGTGGTCTTTTATCCCGATGTTGGATGGGCTCAGGATCCTCATCCCTCCGAGCTTCCTCTTTGGGTACCAGAGCCTTGCTGGCTCTTCTCTGATTGGCTGGCTGGCCCAGGGGCTTAACCAGTAAGATTCAAGACTCCTTCCTGCTGTCTCCAGGACCCAATTGGCCTTAGATGGTGGCCCTCGCTGGGCAGGGAGTGCATGGACATTTGGATACTCTCTCTTGCGGTGTCCCCTGGCCTTTCTGGCCGTGTCCAGCTGTTGGCCGTACCCCATACTCCCCAGAGTGTGGCTCTCAACTTCCTGTAGAGCAGAATCGAGGCCTTTACTGGGGACCTTTGACCCCATGTCTCAGGACTCCAAGAGGCCAGCGCAGATGGGAGCTGCGAGGAGAAGGCAGGGGAGGGCAGCGGGAGCCATCCTAAGCACCCCCTCTTCTTTGCGGGCCAGGACACGCCCCCCACGGAGCTGCACTTTGGGGAGAAATGGTTCCACAAGAAGGTGGAGAGAAGGACGAGCGCCGAGAAGCTGCTGCAGGAGTACTGCGCCGAGAGCGGCGGCAAGGACGGCACCTTCCTGGTGCGCGAGAGCGAGACCTTCCCCAACGACTACACCCTGTCCTTCTGGTACCTCCCGGCCCGCCCTCCCGGGAGCTGGGGGGATGGCCGGGGGCCTGCAGTGGGCGGGCGCTGACCTGGTCCCCCGCCTCCCCGCAGGCGGTCGGGCCGCGTGCAGCACTGCCGGATCCGCTCCACCACCGAGGGCGGGGTCCTCAAGTACTACCTGACCGACAACCTCACCTTCGACAGCATCTACGCGCTCGTCCAGCACTACCGCGAGTCGCACCTGCGCTGCGCCGAGTTCGAGCTGCGGCTCACCGACCCCGTGCCCAACCCCAACCCGCACGAGTCCAAGCCGTAGGTCCCCGGCGGGTGGGAGGCCCCGGGGCGGGTCCATAGGTCGGAGCAGCCAGCCAGGGGGCTGTGCCTGTCCCAGGGACCACGAGAATTCTGAACCACTAGGTGCCAGGCGGCTGGCCATGGCGTTGGCCCTCTCTGTCTCCTCCCCTCCCCCGCTGTCTCCTTCCTTCGCTTTCCTTTCTATGCTAGTCCTGAGGTCTTGGACTTCGTTCTAGAGGTGAAATTTGGCCCAATGATGTCCTTTGTCCTGTCAAAGCTCACTCTGACACTGAACAGGAAAGGCAAATGATGGTAAGGGTATTTCCCTCATTTCTTTATTTAGCAAAGTGAGTCTCAAGTTATGTCTTGCAAAAGGCCAACACAGTGTGTAAATAACTTTTAAGCAGAATTCTATTTCTGAGGAAGAAGAATAACTTAAGGTTTTTTTTTTTTTACCTTTCCTGTCTGTTTTCATTTGGGTCACCTTTTAAAACTTGATATTTCACATATGATAAAATAACCAAGACCCAAGCAAAGTCTCCCCAGAACCCCCTGTGCGCTCTGCTCAGATTTCCTGAGACCTGCTATGGTTTCTGCCCCACTTGTTGAGGCTGGCCTTTTAGACTGGGCTGGATGGGTGGTGAAGATCAGTGGGTTTATTCTTCTGTCCTTCGGGCCAACCCATTCAGTCTTCCAGTGTTCTTTTAAAAAATTACTGTCCTCAGAGCTGCGGATGGCCAGGGAAGTGCCAGTGTGATTCCCATGGCTGTTTCTAGGGACAAATTCCAGGACTTCCTGGAGCCCATTATTTCATCCCTTGTGGGTGGCCAGCTCAGCATCCCAGAGGCCCTCACCTGTCTCTTTTCTGTGTCCTGGGCACAGCTGGTACTATGACAGGCTGAGCCGTGGAGAAGCAGAGGACATGCTGATGAGGATTCCCCGTGACGGAGCCTTCCTCATCCGGAGACGGCGGGAGGGGACCGACTCCTATGCCATCACCTTCAGGTAGGCGTGGCAGGGGGAGGTAAGGAAGGGCAGGCATGGGACACAAGAGGGAGCTTCTGGAAGAGACCTGCGTGATGGGGTTCTCTCCCCAACTTCAGCAGCATTGATGATTAGGGTAACAGCAAGCGCCACATGTGCTAGTGTGTCCCAGACACTGCCTACGTCCTGTGCCAGCTCTTTGTGGCATTGGCATTACCCTGTTTCTCCAAGGTGGAAACTGAGGCACAGGGAGGGTAAGTATTTGTAGAAGCATGCAGCAGGGGCCTGGGGTTTGAACCCAGACAGCCTAGATGTGTGATGTCATAGCTCTGGCCTGAGCCCCTCAGCATCTGCCACCCAGCCATCTCCAGGACTGTGATTCTCTAGTTCCACCCCCAATTCCCCTCCCATCAGTGATGGGGGAGAGGGTTGGTGTTCAGACCCCAGGCGTCATGCTGGCCTGCCACCTCCCAGCCTCAGGTTTCCTTGAGCTCTGTGCTCATGGTGACGTCATGCCATCCACTGAGTTCCTGACTGTCCCTGAACTGGGTGGCTTCCGAGGTCCCATCTGAATGAGCCCTTCACTGCAGCCTGTGATGGGCAGGGACAGGTATTACCAGTGAGGAGACAGAGGTCCAGAGAGGACTTCGCTTTCATCTTTTCTTGGTAATAGCTTTTCTAACAGGTGTGAGCTAATATTGATGTTCTTGTGGTTTTAATTTACATTTTTAGTGATGTTGGACATTTCCGTGTACCTATTGGCCGTTTATATGTCTTTTGAGAAATATTTATTCAGATACTTTGCCCTGTTAAAAATCAGTTTGTCATCATTGAGTTATTTGAGTTTCTTATGTATTTCGGATACTAACACTTTATTGGATGTTCAGGTTGCAAATGTTTCCTTATTTGTCTGGTTTTTCCTTTTGTTGCCTGTGCTTTTAGGGTTGTATATAAAATATCAGTGTCCAAACTAGTGCCCCGGGCTTTCCCTTATGTTTCCTTCTGGTAGTTTTACAGCTTCAGATCTGACATTCAAGTCTGTTTGGGGTGATTATTTCATTCTTCTGCGTGTTGGATTCCAGTTTTCTCAACACCGTTGATTGAAGAAACTGTTCCTTTTGTATTGTGTGTCCTTGGCCTCTCTTCTGAAAATCGATTCCCCATAAGTGCCTGGTCTTACTTTTGGGCTATTTTGTTCCGCTGGTCTAGGGCTCTGCTTCTCTGCCAGCACCATCCTGTTTTGATGACAAGAGCTGGGGTATGTTTTGAAGTCAAAGAGTGTGAAGTGCAGCTTTGTTATTTCTGCTCAAAATTGCTTTGTCTATTTAGAATAGACTTTAAAAAAATTTAAGAGTTTTTGATTGGCACATAATATTTGTACCTGTTTATGAGATCGTGATGTTTTGGTTCATATATTCCTTGGGTGGCAGCAAACTCAGGGTGACTACATATCTGTCACCTTACACTTTATCACCTCCTTGGTGAGCACATCAGGGTAGACTTAAAAACAAAAACAAAAACAAAAACAAAAACAAAAACCCATTTGTTTTTATAAGATCTTCTTGGCTGTAAATTTAAGATCAAAATTTTATTTTTCAAAATGTTTCTGTTCTTAGAAGAGCTAATGAGACTGAAGAGTGTTCTGTTTGGATTTTTTTTTCCTCTTTTTTCAAATGCATGAAAAAACAGAAAACCCATTTCCTTTTTGAAAAGTAATTCCGAAGTTACCTTATTGGGCCACATTTGGATTCACTCTAGTCCCAGAGGTCTAGAGTGGGCATCAGCAATTTTCTCGAGGCTTTGCAGGCCACGTGGTCTGTCTGGCAGCCATTCAGCCCTGCTGTTCTAGGGAGAGCGTGGCTGTGCACAGAGAAATGCAAATCAAAACCACCCTAAGATACCATCTCACTCCAGTAAGATTGGCAGCCACTATGAAGTCAAACAACAACAAGTGCTGGAGAGGATGTGGGGAAAAGGGTACCCTTGTACATTGCTGGTGGGACTGCAAACTGGTGCGGCCAATCTGGAAATCAGTATGGAGATTCCTGGGAAAGCTGGGAATGGAACCACCATTTGACCCAGCTATTGCCCTTCTTGGACTTTTCCCCGAAGACCTTAAAAGAGCGTACTACAGGGATACTGCTACATCGATGTTCATAGCAGCACAATTCACAATTGCTAGACTGTGGAACCAACCCAGATGCCCTTCAATAGATGAATGGATAAAAAAAATGTGGCATTTATACACCATGGAGTATTACGCAGCACTAAAAAATGACAAAATCATAGAATTTGCAGGGAAATGGATGGCACTAGAGCAGATTATGCTTAGTGAAGCTAGCCAATCCCTAAAAAACAAATACCAAATGTCTTCTTTGATATAATGAGAGCAACTAAGAACAGAGCAGGGAGGAAGAGCAGGAAGAAAAGATTAACATTAAACAGATAGATGAGGTGGGATGGAAAGGGAGAGAAAAGGGAAATTGCATGGTAATGGAGGGAGACCCTCATTGTTATACAAAATTACATATAAGAGGTTGTGAGGGGAATGGGAAAATAAACAAGTAGAGAAATGAATTACAGTAGATGGGGTAGAGGGAGAAGATGGGAGGGGAGGGGAGGGGGGATAGTAGAGGATAGGAAAGGTAGCAGAATACAACAGTTACTAATATGGCATTATGTAAAAATGTGGATGTGTAACGGATGTGACTCTGCAATCTGTATTTGGGGTAAAATTGGGAGTTCATAACCAACTTGAATCTAATGTATGAAATATGATATGTCAAGAGCTTTATAATGTTTTTAACAACCAATAAAAAAAAAAAAAAGATAAACAAACGAATGGTAAATATTTCAATAAAACTTTATTTACAAAAACACACAGTGAGTCAGACTTGGCCCCCGGGTCTTTGGGCACCGACCCCTGGTCTGGACACCTTGGGGGTTTCCACAGTCAAGCCTGTGATGGACAGGGAGCCAGATCTGGTGCAGAAAGACCCACACTGTCGTTTCCAGTGCAGTCTTGTGTTCTGTAGGAGGGTGGCCACTGTTTATTGACCCAGTCCCCTCAGGGTGGATGCCCAGGTGGTTTCTAGTGGGCAGGGCGTATACAGCGAGTGTATGGCCATCAGAATCTTGGTGTGCCAACTCTACATGGTTCCCCCTTCCCCTAGGGCCAGGGGCAAGGTGAAGCACTGTCGCATCAACCGGGACGGCCGGCACTTTGTGCTGGGGACCTCTGCCTACTTCGAGAGCCTCGTGGAACTTGTCAATTACTATGAGAAGCACGCGCTGTACCGGAAGATGCGCCTGCGCTACCCTGTGACCCCTGAGCTGCTGGAGCGCTACAACATGGTAGGTGGCCAGCTTGTGATTTTGTTCATTCCTTTGGCATAACTTTGAGTACTTACTGTGTGTCTGCAGCTGCTGCAAGTCTGAGGATCCAAAAGGAACACAAAGATCCTGCCCTCCTGCTGCGTACAGTCTAGCTTGGAGGAGGCAGACAATAAATAAGAAAATATACGTAGCAAGCGTCAGTGATAAATGCTCAGGAGAAAGATGGGCAGGTGGGTAAGAGCATACAGAATACTAAGGGGGAGGTTTTAGTTTTCAAAGGGCCTGGCATGAGCTATGCAGTATCTGGGGGAAAAAAGGACAGCAGGTGTGAAGGTCCTGAGGTATGAGCCTGCCTGGAGGCACAGAGGGGAAGCTGGCATGGCTAGAATCAAGTGTGCCCAGGTAGGGGTAGAATTTAATAAGGATGGGTCAGTGTGGGGCCGGTCCAGGTAGGGCCTGGTAGGCCATTATGAATCACTGGCTTGTGTTCTGACCATTGGAGGGTTTTGAGCAGAGCGTAAACCTGCTGTGATTACTGTGTCTCACTTCCTCTGGGAAGGGTTTATTAATTTGCCGAAAAAAGGTGGACGGTCCTGACGGTGCCAGGGACTGCTGTAGACGCTGGGAGCAAAGCCTGCCCTTGGGAAACTTAGGTTCTGGAGAGGGGAGAGAGCCAGCACAGTGAGGTCATGGCATGTTTTCAGTGAAGCAAGTGATAATGGATAGCGTGGGGAGGGTGGCGCTGCGGCAGGCGGTCAGAGGAGGTGGACTGAAGTGGCTGAGAATGTGAGCTGAAACCCAGTGGGTCAGCCTGGGATGTGTGAAGGGAGCCGCGACACCAGGTAGAGGGAGTGGCCACCGCAGGTCCCTGAGGCTGCTGATGGACAGAGGCTGGCAGCCCGCTGGGGTGAGTGGGGGAGGGAACAGAGGCGGGAAGGTGGGACTCGGCAGAGGCTCTGGGAAGAAGGCCCTGCTTTGTAGCATGTGCCAGTTTCCGTGGTGTAAATCCTTTCTCGGTGGCCGATTTCAAGCTTCTGTGTGCCTTCCTTGAACTCAAGGACAGGAGAAGACATGCTGGTAGCTCTATGAGCCAAGAGCTCCCTCCACAGTTGGATCTTCAGGTTTATGTTTTTACAGGGAAACACAGTGCCTGGCACACAGTAGGCCAGCACAGGGCCCCTGTGATTTGGGGGAGGTTCCCAAATTTGGGAGAACTTCTCTGTAGCTTTTAACCATCTCTACCCATGAGCCACAGTAAGTTCTGTGCGATTTCTACCCTCCCCTCGGGTGAGTGCCAGGACATCTGTAGCCCTTGCTGTGTCCAAGGGCTATTCCGGGGGCAGTGCCGTCCACTGACTTCTCTCTCTCTTTTTTCAGGAAAGAGATATAAACTCCCTCTACGATGTCAGCAGGATGTACGTGGACCCAAGTGAAATCAACCCTTCTATGGTAAGATCCTGCTTGCCCCATGGCAATTATACAGGACCAGAGAAGGTTCTGGAAAACCTGGCGTGCGCATGCGTGTGGGAGCGCATGCTGTCTCTCTTCAAACACACATACACACTCTCTCTCTCTCTCCACACACACACATACTTTTTTTTTTTTTTTTTTAATAGAAAGGATGATTGGTTTCAGGGCAAAGGTTAATAGAATCCATCCACACGCATCTGGGCCTTGCTAAAACTCTGAGGTTTGATGAACCACCTTTGGGCCAAATGGCTTCCAATTAGAAGTCTTTCAAATGTGTTTTTCTAGCCAACTGAGCCTGTGGTGTGTGTTCTGTCTGGTTCTCTGACCTCCTCGATGCAGACGCTATCTTGCCTTCCCACCTGGCTCTTATGAACCTCCAAACAGGTGGGCATGAGGTCTGCCTTTGCTCCTGGCTCCTCCTCGCTCTGGTTTTGTCTCACATGTGGTTTGAGCAGGTGGAGGGAGAGCCACAGTGGGTTTTCTGTGTGGGAGACTGGCCCTTGGCTGGTGTGCAGCCCCTGCCTAGGAAGCAGCCTGCTGGTGGCCTCTGTTAAATACAGATGGATTTTTTCTTCTTTCCTCTCTTCCTTCCCTGCCCTTTTCTTTCTTTTTTTAAAATTTCTCATCCTTGGCTGATACAAATCTTGAGCAAGCAATGAAGTCCTGAGGAGCTGGTCGTCCTGCACCAGCTGGCCTCAGAGACTTTGGTTAGCACTGAAGGACATTTGGAAATGAGAACGGTCGCCCCTCTGCCCGACGTACAGGTTCTGGACATCTGACTGGGGCCCTCTGGAGCAGTGGCCAGGGGCCTGTTCGTCTTTGCCCTTGACGGGGTGTACTTTGGAGTTTATTTTGCGGGGCTGAGTCTCTCATTTTCCTTTTAAATGTGATTTCCTAAGGCAGGGGCTGCTGGCTCACATGTCCGTGAAGGTCAGGCAGATAACATGGGTGAGTGGAGCTGTCCGGGCGTAAGAAATATTTCAGTCTTTTAAATCTTCCGCGACAGTGACAAAATAGTGCAAGTTTGGTGATGAATGGCGACTGGCATTTGGCCTTTCGTCAGCTGGTCGGCAGGGGTGACGGAGCCTGCGGTCCTCTGAGGGACGCTCGCTGCCTCAAGGGCACTGCTCCACAGCAGCCGCTGGCATTGCCTTGCGGGCGGGCAGCTCGGCTCTTCGGATTTCTTGGGACAAGCCAGTAATCTGTGTGTTTCACATGAAATCTAATTTTAAAACTCTGGCAACTAAGCCAAGGGGTAGAGACAGTCTCCTCTTCCACCGTGTGAGCCGTGAGAAGCCCCTGAATGCAGCACTTGATCCAAACTGCCACCTGTGATCAGCACCTCCAAGTAAAATTATTACTGTCACGTGGAAAACTGATGGAAGGAAAGAAAGCACGTGGAGGAGAGGAGCGGTGACCCCCGGTGCCACCTGTGCCTTGTGTTGACCCTCTTTGCTGCTCCGTCTTAGGTTTCATTTGCTCATCTCTTAGTGACCATTTTGTCAAACCTGGTAGGCTGAGCAATTTAAGCAAAATCTCTATATTGGAATTTAACCTAAAAATGTTTTTAATGCTGTGAAATATTCTGGCGATTCTGCTCACTTAGCTGTTTTCCCATCAGTGGCCACTGAGTCATTTCTGGTTTTTGTTGTTCTAGTTCATACTAAAATGAGTCGCTTCACGTAGAGGCTCCCGGCATGTTTTGCATTCTTTTTCTTCCGTAAGCTCTTGAAACTGGAGGACAGATCAGTAACCCTAGGTAACCACATTCCGGGCACTGGCAGTGGCTAGACCATTAGCTCTCACGACAGCCCCATGAGGCAGGTTTTATTTTGATGCCCATTTTACAAAGGAGGGAACTGAGGTACCTCAAGGTTAACTGCCAGGAGAGCGGTGGCGTGGCGCTGGACTCTGGTCCTGGGCAGCCTGGCTCTTAGCCATTTGACCTGCCATGTGCCTACTTGGGCATCTGGGGAATGGCTGGTTTCTCTGTAGCTTATCGGGACCTCTCTTGCCACCCAGCGGGCTGGAGGCTTCCTCCTCATGGAAGCCAAGTGGCACTTCCCTCTGCCACAGGCTGCTTCCCACTGAGCCTTGAGCCCAGCTCTGGTCCTTCCACCTGCCTGGAAGCAGAGTGCCCAGGTAGAGCCTGCTCCATTTGCAGTGAGGAGAGAGAGGCAGGAGGTCTGGGTGGCCTCTTTTTGGAGGTCCTGAGTTTCTAGAACCCTCGTTGCTTTTTATGGAACATCATGGACTATGGCAACAACCCACGCTAGTTGATCCAGTTCTGGGCTCAGGGGCTTACCAACTGTTGACCTTGGGCAGATCATCCAAGGTCATCTCTGTACCCCATTTTCCTCTTCTGTTAAACCAGCATACTACCACTTCTACCTTCCTATTGGGGTAGTTGTGAGAGCTAAAGGAGACACCGTAGGTAAAACAGGCTTAGAACAGGTCTATCTTGATGGGGTGGTAGGCGATTGTCATTTCTGTCATTACATGCAGTACCTCATTTAATAGGCTCAGCAAACCTGGTATGTAAAATTTTAATTCTGATTTCACAGGTGGGAAAACTGAGCCTTAGTAAGCCTTAAATGTAGAGCTAGGAAGGGGCAGAGTGATTATTGGAACCTGCGTGTTGACACCATTGTCTGCCTCGAGGAGCGGGTTGCCTGCTCCCTGTTCCCATTTTCCTTGGGTGAGAGAAAGGGAAGCCCTAGATCTAGGCAGACTCGACAGTTCTGCCCATGAAGACTTTCTTGCCACAAGGGTGTAGTTTTGTCTGGGCTTCTGCTTGCCAAGCAGCAGGCATCCAGCAAGTTCTTTGAAGAAAGATGGTATCTTAAGTCCTGTCTTGTTCCTGTCAACAAGAGCTGACTTCTGATGAGTTTCATGGAGCAGCGCCTCAGCTGTTCCAGTAAAACGTCAGGCATTGAGAGAGGCTGGTTAGAGGGCCACCCGCCTAGTGAGAACAGCGGTGTGGCCCTGGATGGCCCGGAAATGGGACTGTCCTTAACTTCTGGGGGCACCTGGGGCAGAGCGATCCTCTGAGGAGCTCAGAGGTGGTGCTTGTGGTGTGATCTGAAAGTTGTGTCCTCTCTTGTTGAGGAATCTGAGCAATATTGGGTCACACCCAGCTCAGGCCATTGTCAGTGCCTCCTGGGGACATTTGGGCCTTGGCTCCCCTGCAGTGCTGCCCTTTGGCCAGCAGGTGGCGCTGTCATCCTGGCCTCTGAAGCCTTCTGCTCCTAAGAGGAGCCTCACAGCTGCCAGTGATGTTGCCTCTTCTCTGCGGCTGTCACCAGGCCTGACCTTTTCCTTCCTGTTTCCCTGAAAGCCTCAGAGAACCGTGAAAGCTCTGTACGACTACAAAGCCAAGCGAAGTGACGAGCTGAGCTTCTGCCGTGGGGCCCTCATCCACAACGTCTCCAAGGAGCCCGGGGGCTGGTAAGGCTGGTCGGGGTGGCTGGCATGCTTGGCAGGTGGGTGCCACTCAGGGCTGGCTGACCTCTGATCCCCTTGTCTGACCTCCTGGGCTGATTTTGGCCTGCTATGCTCCTCCACTGGGAAGTGGGTAAGCCGCGGTGTTAACGGTTACCAGATCTTGCACAGTTCACATCGTCACGTACCGGGTATCACTGCCGTCACAACAGCACTCTGCTAACTGCTTTTACACATCGTCTAACCAAATTCTCATTGCGATCCTGTGGAGCTGTGCCTGATATTGTCCCCACTTCACAATGTGGCCAATGAGTCTTCCCAAGGATACACAGCAACAGGCACTTCCATTACACAAGCCCATGTGTTATGTTAAATTCAAATTCCTAGGCTGTTGCTTAGTCCTGTGCTCTGTATTATGGCCTCATCCTAAACTGAGGAAAGTAGGTTTTTTAGGGCAGGGGAACCTGGGTTTGTTGAGGTTTAGTTACCTCTTCTCTTCTTTTACCTTGGAAGAAAAATTTGTTGCCTAATGATACATCCCCAGGCAAGTGGTTTCTTACCTGAGAGCAGTAAGAACTCACTGATGACCAGGGGCACTGGCAGAGATTCTAGCACTACATTAGACTGGCATTTCTTCCTCCCAACATGATAGTGAGACCTGACTTAGAAATCCAACACAATCTCGTGTTGGGATCTTACTGTGTTAAACACTATGGTAAGCATTTCCTTTGAAAGCTCATTTGTCCACATGATGGTGAGTTCTGTTGGCACCTGTTTTTTTATGGATGAGGAAACTGAGGCACAGAGAAGTATAGTAAGTTGTCCAGGGTCACACAGCGGGTGATTATAGGGCCTACACTCTAGTTTCATACATAGTGAGGCCCCTCTCTGGACTTGAGCAAGGGACCTCAGTCCAGGGATTTTCAAACTTGTTTTAAAGCCGGGAGAACCCTCACTCCAAACCAGTCGTTAACTGCTTTTTATTCTGGAGATCCAGGTAACAGTGGAGTTCCCTGTGGAGTGAGGGTTTGGAGCCGCCTGTTATTCCTCCCTGCTGGTGGCTCTGTCCCTGCCACAGCACCTGCTTGTCAACAGTGTTGTCCACCTGCCTCTCCCAATGCAGGACTTAGCTTTGCTGGGATCCCTCCCCTCAGAGTGGCACAGCCAGGAGTTTGGTCTCCTCGGGCTGCGGGTGCTCCCCATGAGGCGCCTGAACTTACCTCTGTGGGAATCCCAGTTCTCACTGGTGGGCAGATGATGGACTTCTGTGGAGGTGGGGGTGCAGCCCAGATAATGACCCCAACTCAGTTTTCCAGTTCCAAGGCTTTGGAATGAATGAAGAGATTGGCGTGAGTTCCTTTGGCAAGGGGCTGTGGGTAAGCTGCCCACCAAGGTGTCACTTCTGACTCCTTGATGGCCATAGTGCCACCTAGTGGGTTGCCCGTGTTGGACCAACTTTTCTTCATCCTCCCAGACTAGTTCCTGCAGAGCCAGGGGCACCAAATAATTTATGTTCCAACGGCGATACTTTTGAGAGTGAAGGGAATACTGTTGCTAATAATTATACCTGGCAGCAGGTGGCACTGCTCAGCCCTAGGAAGATGGTGCGTGTGGTCACCTTAGATACAGGGTGACCTTTACTAGCCTTTACCTGAGATGGGTGTGGAGAAATGAAGGGCAGGAGGGTGTGGAATGGGCTGAGAGCTGGCAGTCACTAGGCCATCGGTACCATCTGTCTTCACTCTGCCTGTCCAGGCCCAAATTTAAAGTGCTTCCTGTCACCACAGAAGAGATTTGATCAGCATCAAGAAAGGTCTCAAATAGTAGGGAGGCAGATACAAGGTCCCACTGCTGACAGCTGGTGCCTGGAGCTCAGCCTGGGTGGCTGAGTCTGAGGGTCCAGTAGGAGAAAGGTGTGCAGGAAGGGCCTGGTGGTATGGCAGGGCAGACTGGCTGCCTGGAGACGTCAAGCTGGAGTCCCCGAGTCCCAGGGTGATACTAGGCTGGGCTCTGATGGCCAGACTGGAGTCTGGGTCCTGGAGGCTTTGAGGAGGGGCCGTGTGGCATGGTCAGAGGTCCATGTTGGCACAAGCCCCCTGGCTGTAGGATGGCCAAGCTAGAAGGGGAGGCCTGCCCGCCTGAAGAGACTTGGGAGAATGTGCGGTACCAAAGTCTGATGGGTCTGGCTGGACCACAGGTGTCCTCGGTATCACATGGGTGTGGGAGCGGTGCTTCAGCTGAAGGGACGGGGACTACTTGTCCCATTCTACATAGTTGTGGTGAAGCTGGCATTTCATTCAGGGCTGTCTGGCTCCAGAACATTCTTTGTATGGTTTTTATGTCTACATTTGCAGCCCTTCCTGAAATGGGGTGGGCGCCAGCCGGAGAGGGTGGGTGGTCTGTGACTTCCACTGAAGCATAGGAGCGCCCGACTTTCCGTGTCTTGGACTAAACATCAGCATCGTTGCAACCAGAGGAGCAGCGAGCTCCCAGCAACTCACTGGTGATTAAAACAGGAGGCAGAAGCTGCCTTTGAAATCCTCTGTTGTCACATAATGACAGCCCCCTCTGGTCACTTGGCCAGTTGCCGCTTTTCCCCATCACAGCCAGCCAGCAGCTGGGATCTAATGAGCGGTAATGGATTATTAATACCCGCGGGCGAAGGCTCTTGATATGCCCTCTGCTTTTATCCAGGTGGAAGGGAGACTATGGCACCAGAATCCAGCAGTACTTCCCATCCAACTACGTCGAGGACATTTCAACAGTTGATGTTGAGGAACTGGAAAAGCAGGTGAGGCCTGCCATCCATCATCCTGCCTATGCTGTCTTTTGGGGAGTCCTGGAGCCATCTTAGGGGGTGAAATTTGACACGTGCTGGTTGTGGTTTCTGAGATTTGGAATGGGGAAGACAGGGTGACATGGAAATTGGAATTGAACCCAAGTTGTCATGGGCGGAATTCGCTGTGACAAGCCAGTCCTACTTTAATCAGGCGGTGTTGAGCTGGAGGCTCTGAATAGGCAGAGAATTCCCACGGGAGGGAAAGAGGCCAAACAGGGATTCTGCCCTTTGCTTCAAGCAGTTTGCCAATGGAAATCATTGAGCTTGGGCAACCAGACGTGCAGAGCGGGCTTGATGGGAGTGGTGTGGTGGGCCCAGCTGGTCGGGGAGAGGTCCTCGTGTGACTTTGCCAGCTGGGTTTCTGTTCCCCAGCCTCTGCCTTATGCCCAGAGGCTCAGGGAACAGCTACTTTGACTGTGGCTGCACAAGGGTGACATCTTCCTGATGAGGACTGTAGGGGCCCAGAGCATTTATTTCTTAAGGAAGGTGGGAAAATCTGGAAGGGCTTCCTAGAGGAAGGGAAATGTGAGCCTGAAAAGTCAAAATGGCGGGAGGTGGGCTAAGCAAAGAGGGGGCTGTGTGAGAGCTCCCACTGAGGCCGAGGTGCGGCCCTCTTACCATGTGGGTCCTGTGTCACTCCTGTCTACAGTCACTGTTAGGCTGGTGGGGCCGTGTAACCACCAGGTGGATTCACAGGTCTGCCCTCTCTCCTGGCAACAAGCTGGTCTCTGTCTCAGCTGGACGCTGGATGGTTTGGGTGTGCAGTGGCCGGGAGAGCCAGCTGGTGGGGGTGGGGGCAACCAGGGCTTGGAAAGATCATAGAGCATAGCTGTTGCTTCCATAGGCCCCAGGGAGCTGCAGAGGGTTCTCGAGCTGGGGTGTCGTAGGCCCCAGGGTCCCATTTCATAGGATTGTCAGATAATGGGTCTAGGGCGTGTTTTGAAATCTGTTCTAGGATTCACAGGCCTTGTTTTTATGGATGGGGAAAATGAAATGCTGACCTGTGGCTCCTGCTCCCCACTCAGTCCCCTTCGTTATTTAGCTCTCCCGGTGGACGGGTCCTGTAATGAAAACGCATTTTAAACGATTCCACAGGCAGTGTCTGCTAAACGGTGTGCTTTGGAAACCGGTTGTCTTTTTATTATTCTTGTTACGACTACCATGAGTTATGTCTTGTTTCTTCACAGATTATTGAAGACAATCCCTTAGGGTCTCTTTGCAGAGGAATCTTGGACCTCAATACCTACAATGTTGGTACGTGCACACGTTGTCTTAGCAAGTCCCCCAAGGCCTGACCCTGGAGCTGGCCCTGTGCAGTGGGCACTGATGTTGTCTCCTGCCCTGCATGAAGCCTAGTACATCTGGGCTGGACTGGGCTGGTCAGTGATGCGGATGGAACCAGCCAGGCAGTGGGTGCTGAAGCAGTGTCTGACCTGATAAGCTCTTGATGAGTATTAGCTGCTGTCCCCAACGTCATCGTCATTATTTCAGGAACTGGCTTTTGAAGCTGTTGGCCAGGCCCAGATGAAACGCGGGGTCAGGAGGCTTACCAACTGTTGACCTTGGGCAGATCATCCAAGGTCATCTCTGTACCCCATTTTCCTAAGGTCAGATCTGCAACTTGGCCCCTATGAGATGGCATCCTGACACTTCTCTCTGTTCAGCCAGGGACCAGGAAACCAGGATTGCCCACAGGGGATCTGGGGCGAGGGCGAAGTGAGGGTGTGGCCCAGACACGGGCTTGTGCAGGGGTGGCAGGGTTGGATCTGCATGGGCTGCTGGGGCTGGCCTGTATTTAGGGGGCAGGTCGCAGCTCCCTCGAAGCAGGGTGCAGGCAGTGAGAGACCTTCTGGGCCGAGGGCCTGGCAGCCTCCCTCTGCTGCAGCACATTGGTTTGTTAGCCTGGGCTTGCTCCCCACGAGGCCCTCCCTGGGGAGGCCTGGTCCCCGAGGGCTCAGAGGACAGTGTCCCAGCACTTTGCTTTCTGCCTGCATCACCTGGTTCTGGTTTCCCCTGGCAACAATCCAGTAGGGTGGCCGGGTACAGGAGTTTTTGCTGCCATTGCCAGATGACAGAACCGAGCTCCTTAGTGACCACCACACCTGAGGTCCCAAGGTGAGCTCCTAGGCGCATGGGGCTGGGGGAACTCCCCTTCACACCCTGGAGCATCTGCCTCCCCTCCTGCAGAGCAGAGGCACGAAGTAGGGAGTTGCTACCAGGTCTGATCTTGCCTCTGCCACCGATGTGGCCTCGCAGTTTCATTCTTCCAGAGCCTCAGTTTTGTGTCCTGTAAAACGGACACAAGGTAGTGGTACCCCACAAGGCTGTGATGAGGACCGAGCAAGACACAGTGCCTGTCACTGCTTAGAGTATCACCTGGCATCCAGGAGCTCAGAAAGCTTAGAGATGATTTTTTAGGCAGGTCATCTCCCCCTCGTAACTATAAGTTTCTTTTCTATAAACACGTTCTCCGTGGAGGCCTCTCTAGGCCTCTGCTTCCTGGCTGATGCTCCCTGGTGCTTTGCTGTGGCTTCACCGCCCTGGTGTCTGCCTCCGTGTCTCTGCGCTCCTGTGTCTGAGTCCAGGTCTCCCCCTCCTGTCTCTTAATGGAAAACCAGTCCTTGGATTTAGGGTTTACCCCAAACCCAGATGTCTCAGCTTGGAATCCCTCACTGAGCACATCTATTTCTAAATAAGGTCTCAGGGACTGGGGACTTGACGTTGTTTGGACACCACTGCTGAACCCACTAGACACCTTAGGGCAGGACGTGTCTTGTCCAGACACTGCCTGATCGAAAGCAGATGCTCCAGTCAGTGCCAAGACGACCCGCAGAGGTGGCTCGGGTGGTTCCTGGGAGAAAAGTCTCGGGCAGCGTGCAGTCTGCTCTTCGGGGCTTCTAACAGGACCTTCCTTTCCCTCCCCCACAGTGAAAGCCCCCCAGGGGAAAAACCAGAAGTCTTTTGTCTTCATCCTGGAGCCCAAGAAGCAGGGTGATCCTCCTGTGGAGTTTGCCACGGACAGGGTGGAGGAGCTTTTTGAGTGGTTTCAGAGCATCCGAGAGATCACCTGGAAGATCGACACCAAGGTAGGCCTCTGCTCACCTGGGCACATGGTGACAGGCAGGGACACTTGAGCTCCCTGGGAAGCTGGGCCCAGTCTGAGCTTTCAGAAGACTTGGCGTGTGCAGGGTCGCCCCTGCCAACATAGCCTACCCAGGAACTATCGCCTTCCTCTTCCCCGTTTCCTGGTCCTGTGCATCTCTCAAAGCAGCCTAGATCCTTCCACAGCCAGCGATCACGGAGCTCTCCTCCCTGGAACGCAGGGGTGACCAAGACCCACCCTACGGCACATCATCTTCTAGATAGGAATGGGCTTTTTTGGGTTCTTCTGAGCATCAGAACCTGGCTAGGGCGTTTTGGGGTTCTGGGTAGGGATAGAAGGTTTGGAGTCCGGCAGGCTGGACTTTGAAGCCTGGCAGGGTTGGACACTGGGCCTTGGCTTTCTTGTCTGCAGAACGAGGAGCCAAATACCTGACTGGTAGGATGAGGTGAGGTAGTGACCGCAGCCCATGATGGCCTTGGTCATCCCTGTGCCAGGATGACGTGGCAGGGCTGCCACATCATGAGGGATGGCGTGAGGTGCTTTGCTCTTGTGACTACAAAGCTGGCTTGCTTCTGAGGAAGATCTCGACCTCTGCAGTCCCCCATGATCTCGGGATGCAGTCCATTCTTGCTCCTCCAAAGTACTTGGAGTGCCCACCTGCCAGCAGCCTGGTAGCCCCTTGCCCTGGTCCTTGGCCACCAGGGGTCTACTGACTCACCCTTTCTGCAGGGCAGTTACCGTCTTCAGAAGGCCTGTCAATGGCATCCTCCTGGCAGGGCCTGCCACTTTCCCCTGTCCTAGAAATTCAGGGGCTTTGTCACACCACCACTAGTCACTTGGGTGACCTGTGAGCTTGTGGCCAGCAAGTCAGCTTGTTCCCATGTTCCCTGATAGGGACATCTCATCTGTCCCTTAGTTACTCAGGTCTGAGGCACAGGGCGGGTGCTACCGCCCTGAGGTTCATTTGAAAAATCGTCCCTATCCAGGTGTGTCCTCCTTGCTGGCTTGCTGTCCTCAGTGTGATCTGTGTGGTGCCACCTGATGGCATGTCCCTTCCTGAGCAGGGTCTGGTTGGTCTGGGTCCTTCTAGCCAAGGATAGAGAAAGCCAGTCTGCGAGTCTGTCCCCAGCACCAGCCTCCTCGGGGAACGCTCCGTGTGGGCTGGCACAGGGCGTTGACTGGCCCCTGTGCTTGGCGCCTCCTGGAGAAGAGTGTGGCTTCACTTGAGGTGCCCTGGCCCCTCCCTCTCCTGCCCGTGAAGTTTTCTGAAATTGAGCCTAGCTCTTCAAGGCTGCTTTCTGCTGCCTTTGATCTATATCCTCTGTAATTGGATTTTACATTTGCTAAAATTTCGTGAGAACAATCTTAGTCTTCTTATTACATTGAGGGTTAAAAAAAACAGGAGTCGGCAGAGTTGACCGCGTTCTGGCTCTGGTCACAGCTGCCCTGTGTGAGGGGCTGGTGTGGGTCTGAGGGGCAAGGCCCATCCCGACCCTGGAAGCCTCGCTCCTGAGCAGGCCTCACGGCTGCCTGGGGGCCGGCTCAGGCGTGCGTCTGTCTACACTTCGAGGTGGCCCAGTGGGCAGCACCTTCAGTGCAGAGAGCGACATTAAGCAATTTGGAAGAAGCAACTGGCATTGTCACCTGTGAGGCTGAAAATGGGGTAAAGTCCCCACAGCTGTGCTCCATGAGCAGGGACAGTATTCCAGAAGGCCACCTATGTGTGGCACGCCTACTCACCTTTGTTCTAAGCAACCCTGTCGTCAGCGGAGGCAAACAGTGTTACTGCTGGGGTGTCCTATACCCCCACACACTCACAGTGAAGATCATGCACCAGGAATGCAGAGCCAGGCTGATGAGGACCTAGCGACCGATCTGAGGTTTGGAAAGGTCCTTGTCTCCTGGTAGCATTTGGCTCGAGGCGGGCTGATGTCTGAAGAAGTCACAGCGTGTTCCACGCCTACCTCCCTCCTCTGGTTGCTTTGTACCCAGGACTCCTGTGAAGCATGGGAAGGGCTGGTGAGGGTCGGGCTGGGTAGAGGAGCTGGGGTGCTTCCTCAGGTGCGGACTTGGCATTGCCAGAGTCTGCTTTGGTGGCGGAGTTAACTCAGGACCCTGGTGCAGGTGTCCGCAGGGAAGAGCCTGCTGCTTGCCTTTGCTTGCTCACCTGCCTAGGGAGGCGCCTCCTGAGTGGCCCCCATGACTGATCCACGAGGCTTCCTCGTTTAATTCCTACAATGGCCCCGTGAGGGAGCATTCCTGTGAGCTTCATTTTACAATTAGGGGATCTGAGGCTCAGACTGTAGGGTTTGCCCAGGTGACCCAGTAATTCTCAGGGCCTGGTTTCCACTTTCCACCGTTGTAACCACCTGAGCACTTGCTGTCTGCAGGGCCTTCCTGCCCAGGGACTCCCCTAGGGGGTCACCATCTGCACATTAGCATTAAGGCAGGACAATGGAAGAGGGATTGTCAAGGCTGAGCCTGGCAGAAGCTGGCTGGGGCAGAGAGGCGTGGATGCCTTCAGGAGGGCCAGGTCCCTTCCCCTGCCCCATGAGAGCTTCCCAGAAAAGGAGGACTTGGATGGGTCCAGAAGAGCTCTGCTGGACAGGCCCAGGAGCCACCAAGGGGTGAGGAGTCTGGGGACTGGCTGTGAACTGTGGTGCTAGATGTAGGGGCAGTTTAGTGACATCTTCTCCAGGGACTTTGGGTCCCTGCTCTTAAGCATCTGGTCTTGACATCAGCTGGCTGTGTTTCCTCGGGTAAGCTGCTTAACCTCTCTGTGTACATGGAGATAATTTCTGCTTCTTGACATTTGTGGACCAAATAATATCCATCATGCCTGGGGCTGAGCACTATTCCATGGTGACTATATTAAATATTCTCTTATGGTTCCCCCCAGGCCAGGGAGAGGCTGATAGAATCTGAGGGGCCTGATGTGGGGTGAAGTGAGCAGCTCATCCTTACCTGGGTGGAGTTAGATTGAACAGTGAACCTTCTGGGAAATGCCGCCTGGGTCCATGGCCCATGGCCTGGGCCCTGGGAGAAAGGAGAGCCTCGGATGGAGCCAGGATGGGCGGAGCTGGCCTGCAGGGTGCTCGGGGCACGGAGATCTGGAATTGATGAACTACCACTGGTTTCAGGGGAGGGATGGGGCGAAAGGCAGGGGTAACAAGAAAAGAGGGGTAACGTCAAAGAGGTGTCCCCCCTGCCAGCCAGGCCCCCATCTACTTGTGAGAGCTTGGCCAGGGCTGGACACCAAATCTGGGTGGAAGCTGCTTGTGGAGGAGGGGCAGGGCGTCTTCAGGACAAGAGAACATTCAGCTCCATGGAAGGTCTGAGCAGGCAGGAGGGGCCCAGTGGCTTGGGGTTGCTGGGGCGCCGTCTTGCGGCAGCAACTAAAGATGGTGGCGTTGGAACAGGAGAACAACATGAAGTACTGGGAGAAGAACCAGTCCATCGCCATCGAGCTCTCGGACCTGGTCGTCTACTGCAAGCCCACCAGCAAGACCAAGGACAACTTGGGTAAGGCCCTCCCCGCGACTCCCCGGCCATGAGCAGGGCTCCCAGTGGAATCTGATGCTTCAGGGCAAAGCGTTTCCTGCTGGCTCTTGACTGCTCCTGGCAGAGGCCTGACTCCTTTGTCCTCGGCCCCTACCTGCTCGGAGGGCAGCCACTGTAAAAATGACCATGAATGTGGTGACTGAAAACAGCACACATCTGTTGTCACACAGTCCTGAGGCCCTGTCACCAGGCCAAAACGAAGGTGCCAGGGGCTGCAGTCCTTCCAGACCCCCAGGGGGAGTCCATTTCCTGCTTTGCGCAGTTTCTGGTGGCTTCTGGCCTTCTCTTCCTTGTGAGCGCAGCAGGCCCCCCTGGATGATCCAGCAGGGTCTCCCTGTTCCAAGCTCCTCAGCCACATCTGCACAGTCCCTGCCCTTTAACAGCAGATTTGTAGGTTCTGGGGCTGAGGTCCTGGGTGGGCCAGGGACCACTGTTCAGCCAACCTCGGAGAAATTACAAAGTGGATCTTTACCAATTCTCCATAGCAGGCAGGTCCCAGCCCTCCAGGTCCAGGGGAAGATGCTGAAGTGCAGGATGGGCCCGGCCAGGTGTAGCCAGTTTCCTTCTGGTTGTCCCACCCCTGCTGGGCGGGAGCAAGTGAGGTGACACGTCCACCCCCTCCCACCTCGCCTTTGCCTTTTACCAGTCCAGGCACTCCTTTCTGTCACATCCTGCCCACAGGCAGTAGCATTTGGTTCTCACTCCTCCACGATGCGGGGTTTGTGCTACTTGTGTCTCTGGCATCCTGAGGAGAGAGCCCATCTCTGTATGTTTCCTTCCCGCTGCTGCCCACATACTCGTTCCCCCCCACCTTTCTGTCACTGTGCCACGTTAGTGCTGTGTGCTTCAAGGATGCTCATAGTTTTAATCACAAATTGTCATACATCTAGTATGAAAGACGAGGTTCCTTTTTATTGTGTGGGGCCCCTGAGGGAGGAGTCCATAGCAGCATTTCATCACTGCCCGAAGCGTCCTGTCGAGGGACTTCTGGCTACCTTTCACCACCTGAGCACCCACCCATGGCAGCAGGTATTAGGAAAATGTGTTGGGCGAGACCTGCGAGAGTGAAGTGCCACCCACCCACCTCTGTCCACAGAAAACCCCGATTTCCGGGAAATCCGCTCTTTCGTGGAGACGAAGGCCGACAGCATCGTCAGACAGAAGCCCCTTGATCTCCTGAGGTATAACCAAAAGGGCCTGACCCGCGTCTACCCAAAGGGACAGAGAGTTGACTCTTCAAACTATGATCCCTTCCGCCTGTGGCTGTGTGGCTCCCAGATGGTGGCACTCAACTTCCAGACCCCAGGTAACTGGAGGGCAGCCGGGGGCCAGATGGTGGCCGCATCATTCCAGGCAAAGTCAGCTGGGGGCCAGTGATGTGTCTTAGGAACCGCCAGGGCTCAACCAGAATGCCAGTTAATGCAAAGCCCAGCAGCTGAACTGAAGGGCGGGCACTGTGGCCACTGGCCGTGTGATCACGAGTCTAGCTTAAGAGAAGGAGCTGTCTTGGCTTATATAATGAAAAGGTCTAGGAGCTGATTTGTAGCTTCAGGCTCACAGGATCCAGGTGTGCAGTGGCCGTCTCGGGGGCGCTCTCCTCTTGGCCATCCCTCTTTGAGGACTTCATGCTCACTCTCTCCTCCAGCGGTATTCAGCTGCCGGGGAAACCCAGCATACACGGGCTTAAATCACAGTGCTTTCACTCCTTCCATTCTCTTCATCGCCACTGAGTGGAACTGCCATTTACTTAACAAGCCTCCCATGGAGGTACATCTAGGCCATTGCCCATCCTTGGCTCTTAGAGGGAGCATTGCCTTTTGGACCCTTGAGTGAGCATCATTCAGATGCAGGTGCACATCTGTGGGGCAAGGGTCTCAGAAGGACTGGGTGGGGCACCCGCACTTGTGTTCTCATTTGATATGCTTTACCTGCAGAAAACCACTGAGCACCTGTGTGGGGTTGTGCCTGAGCTGAGACCCTTTGCAGACAGTGCCCCCCTAGAGACAGTGGAGGGGAACACAAATGGGTGAAAGTATGAATTCATATTTTTGGCATAACTTCACCAGGGTCAGTTTTTTTTTTTTTTGGTACTGGGGATTGAACCCAGGGGTGCTTAACCACTGAGCCACATACCAGCATGTTTTATTTTTTGAGACAGGGTGTCGCTAAGTTGCTTAGGGCCTTGCTAAGTTGCTGAAGCTGGCCTTGAACTTTCAATCCTCCTGCGCCACTGGAATTACAGGTGTGTGCTATTGCACCCAGCACCAGTGTAATTTTATTGAGCTTTTTAATTTTTGCTTGCTGATAAGTGAAAACTGATATTATCCTGTAGACAATTAAAGCTGCTCTTGCAGGCATTTCTCCTACCAGTGATGATGTTAATCTATTTTTCACTTAGGGAGAATTTGCATTTTTTTCATGCATACCATTCATGTGATTTATCTAATGTGGTAGGTTTTTATAGCGTATATTTACCACAGCTCTTAAGAGGCTAAAGTTTTATATGTATTTATTTGCTTGTCATTTGAAGTAAAGTGATTTAACTTTTTTTTTTTTTTTGTATTTGGGATTGAATCCGGTGGGGCTTTACTGCTGAGCTACATCCCTAGTCCTTTTTTAAATTTTGAGACAGGGTCTCACTATATTGCTGAGGCTGGCCTTGAACTTGCAATCCTTCTGCCTCACACTTCTGAGTCACTGGAATTACAGTCATGTGCCACCCCACCCAGCTAAAATGATTTCACTGTGATGCAGTTTGTTTTTTCTTTGTAGATATTTTGAGCTTCCAATTTTTAGCCTTTTTTCCCTGTCGTCATTTTGTGGTGCTAGGGATGGAAGACAGGGCTTTGCATATGCTAGGCAAGTGCACTAACCCTGAGCTACGCCCAACCCTGTTTTAATCATCTGTGGTCCTACTGTCATACTTGGAAAGGTGTTCCTACGTCTGACATTGTCTTTTAAGTCACATACCTATTGGAACGACTGCCCCAAGTTGTCTAGGAGAGTGGTACACCGCTTCCCAGACAGCACCCCCAGCCCAGGGCCGTGTCCCCGAGCGGCCTTACATCGTGCTCGCTCGGCTGTCCTTGCAGACAAGTACATGCAGATGAACCACGCGCTGTTCTCGCTCAACGGGCGGACGGGCTACGTCCTACAGCCGGAGAGCATGCGGACAGAGAAGTACGACCCGATGCCACCAGAGTCGCAGAGGAAGATCCTGATGACTCTCACTGTCAAGGTAGAGCCCTCCAGGGGGCTGGGCCCACGCTGCACTGGAGGCCCAGAGGGCATCTGGGGGCACAGTCCCCTCTAGAGTGCTGTCCTGGGAGGAGGGGATCTCCTTAAATCCAACCCAGTGAACTTCCCTGGTCCTCTGTGGGAGAGGCATGAATCTCTCCCTGGGTGAGGTCAGCCTCTGGCCAGGAAGAGAGAGAAAGGCAATGTGGACATATCATTGGGTCTCAACTCAGGAGAGCTTGTCCCCCTGTTGGCCAGTTTTAGGGGTCAAAGTTTTCTTAATTTAACCCAACTTTCAGACAATGTGTTGTTTTTTTCTAAGAGTTTTTGGAAAGTCGAGAAGTGGATTGCATTTCTCATGAGATTAAGGAAGAAAAAGTGAAATGCATGCCACCTAAGGTCTTTGCTTAATAGGGTGCCCTGCTTTCCTCTGCCCTGTCTCAGTTCTGGGGCACCCAGCCTCGGTAGGTGCCCACCTGGCACGAGTGTGCATATCTGTGTGCTCAGGGAGACCCACCTGTTGGGTCAGATGACAAGTGGCTTGGTTCAGACTTCTCCTTCCACCTGGGAACCCTGCAACTCTCCACCTCACTTCCTTGTTTCCCAGCGGGAAGCAGTGATGGTGGGCACTCAGGAGCCACACCCTAGGGGGTTGCTATGATTCTCCTGTGGACGAGGCTGGCTTTGAACTTGTGCAGCTGGACTCTAGACCCAAACAAAGCCCAGGCCTGGCTGACATGTGGGACAGGCTCAGCTGCTCATGGGCGGACCTGGGGGATCAACCTGCTTACCTTGGTGTCCTAGGTTCTTGGTGCCCGCCATCTCCCCAAGCTTGGGCGCAGCATCGCTTGTCCCTTCGTAGAGGTGGAAGTCTGTGGAGCCGAGTATGACAACAGCAAGTTTAAGACGACGGTCGTGAGTGAGTAGCCTGGGCCTTTCCTTGAAATGCCACCCAGTTGGATCACATATACATGCTGTCCCCAGGGGACTCCGAGTGCACTTTGTGGTCTAGCCTTTTCCTGTGCCCCTCTTGTCCACCATAGTTCTGGGAGGGGAGGGGAAAGGCAAGGCCACTTTCCTAGTACACTGGACCTGGAGCCAGTGCTGTGCCTCTGCCTGTGGGAGCCTGGTGAGGGCTGGAAGGCAGGGCTTTCGCTCTGCCTTGTGACACTAGGTGGGTTTCCTCTTCGACAACCCAGACCTGACACACCTGTGGATTGAAGGCTAAGAAGCAGAGTGGGGGGCGGGACACATGTGGCTGACTTGGCACCATTCAGTCTAACTAGGGTAACCTCAGCCATAGAGGGCAGGAAGGACCTGTCAATTATGGGCCTTTTAAGAGCAGAATCACTGTCCTTGGCCAAAGGCAGCCTACTGCACGACTGGATACTGACCACGTGGCCTTCTAGAGGTTAGGTCCTCCCTGTCAACTCTAGAACACGCTCTTCAGAGACCCCCAGCCCACTCCCCTTACTGGACAGAGGCCGCTTCTCACCCGTGTTTCTTCCAGCTCCCATCATAGGAGGTGAGGTGGGAGATGTGCTCTCTTCCTCTGTCCCTGAGGGCCATGCCCACTGGGAAAGAGGGGGAAAAAACCAAACCTGAAGATGATGGCTCAGATCTTCTTGGATCTTGGTGCAGATGTGTTCCAGGAGGGTGGTGCGAATGCAGCCTCTGACGAGCTTTGGTCTCCTTGCAGATGACAATGGCCTCAGCCCTGTCTGGGCTGCATCGCAGGAGAAGGTGACATTTGAAATTTATGACCCAAACCTTGCATTCCTGCGCTTTGTGGTTTATGAGGAAGACATGTTCAGCGACCCCAACTTCCTGGCTCATGCCACGTACCCCATTAAAGGCATCAAATCAGGCAAGAGGCATTCTAATCAAGAAACTTAATTTGGGCCAGAATTGTTCTTTGATCTGTGCTGCTTGCTTTAAAAAGAATGAAAAAGCATTTTACCTGGTTTTGATTAAATTGGTGCAAAACTGATTGGGTGGCTTGGAGCTGGGCCCCCTTTGAACATTTATTTCGTCCACAGGAGGGAGGCAAAGGGTGAGATGGGGGCTGTGTCCTTTAAGACTTCCGTGTGCAAACTGGATTATTAGTCTGTCATTGAACTGGTGCTGCTGCCTAAGCTCCCTGGCTGGGATTTGGTGACTGATGGGAGCTCAGTCTTAGGTCCAACTCTCCTGGCCTTCAGAACTCACCTTCCTCTTTTATAAAATCGGAGTGTTGTTAATTTTCCTTCATGCTGAACAAAATCCCTTCATGGGTAGAGAAGGGTCATTTTGTGTTTGCCTGTGACCAGCTTGTAAGAACCTGGGTACTGAGACTGCCCATTGAGTCTCAAATGCTGAAGACCCTCAATGCAGCTGCCAGAGTCCTGGTGGGCAGAGGCTATGGCCCAGGAGCTCAGGGCTGATCTGTAAGATGGCTGTCCTTACGTGGAGGGCAGTTTCTCTAATCTCCTTTCCTGCGGGATTCTGTGTATGAGGTTTGACAACCAGGTGTCCACTGGATGTTGAATTTCTTCCTTGCCCTTCCTGGGTGTTTCTGATGAATGAGGGGTAAGTTTGGAAACCCTCTAGAAGTCACTTTTCCTTCTTTTCTAAGAAAAATTTTTCAAGAGAAAGATGTTACTATCATCTTAGTCATTTATATTAAAAAATACAGTCTTTTGGTGTTGTTGGGAAACTTAGGCCACTTATAGAACTGGACTGGATATATTATTATTGGAACATGTCATGTGTTCTTGAACTTCTCCTCGTATCATAAATCTGGCCATTTCTTCCACTGGGTACTAGCCCAGCTTCTGAGTAGCAGGCATACTGGGGCCTCTAATCAGCCCAAGAATCTGCATGTTTGGCCAGCTCCTCAAGTGGCTTTTGGATGACACTGAGAAAACCAGTCCCTAAGCAAGTAGGTTGAACAAGCATTTCAGAAAATGTTTAAACCCTCTGATTTCATAATTTAATGCCTATTCATTTGTAAGTCCCAGAGGCCTGATATTTGGCAGCCCTTACTGGGTAACTTGCAGATCCTATGAACGATTTTAAACCTAGCAGTTAAGCTGCGATGCTCTAATTTGCCATGTGCTTTGTTTGGATTAGCCTCATCAAGAAGGCTTAGGAATGAGGTAGGAGGTGTAGATTTTGGTAAATCCTAACAGTTCTAATGCCGTAATGGATTTCTTTTTATGCTAACTGTGCCTACCATTCCTGACCATACTGCTACCCCTTGTTACTCTGATGTCCTCCTAAGGAATAGGGCAGGAGCCTGTACTCTCTCCCAGTCCCCTGGGGAAAGGTCAGAATGGATAGAACTTCCTCAGTGTCCCGGCCAAAGTGCAGTCCACCTAGACAATGACTAAATTGGAGATACAAAGAACAAAATCTCAAGGACGATTATAGATGTGACCCTCCCCTAACTGTGAGATACACCGGGGACCTCCTTACTCCCCTTGCCAGCTCCCAGGAGCACCTGATGCATCCATATTCATGGGAGGAATAAAACAAAATGAATAGTGCCTCTGCGCATGAGGCATCGAGGGCCTTCTGAACTCGAAAACGAGCTTGGCACGCTGTTGTGAAGGATGCATTTAAGCCTTTCACCAGCTGGGGCTCGGGAAGGAAGGAAACACCAGTTATTGCATTAGGCTCCTTAATGTCTTTCTCTTTTAATCCTCATAGTAATCCTGCAAAAGGGATTTTGTTGTGTTTGCCTTTAAAATCTGAGCACTTTGTGAATTAACTAGTTCAAGGTTGCAAGACCAGAGCTAGGACTCCCCCTCATTCCTCCTATGCTGCCTCTTGAGTCCTCTTACTGCCACTGGGTGCTTAAAGCCCCAAACACTGACCTTATTTTAAAAGATGTCATGATTTCTCTTTCCTCTGTGATATAATTAAAAAGAATAAAAATTCTATTTTTGGTGAAATTGAGGAACACCTTTCATCATCCTTAATTCCAGTATATGAGAAGAGCTCCCAGTGCATCATAGTGACAGTGGGCACTGAGCAGGATTGGGGGATCTGGAGACAGCTGGTCTGGGGCAGAGCTCCAGCTGCTGGATTCAGAGGCACAGGTGGAGTGTCTGAGTGGCTTTCTGCTCAGAACCATGCTATTGGAGTGCACGGGGTACCTGACCGCCTCCTGGAGCACCCAACAGCATGTCAACACTAAACTGACTTCTTCCCTGTCATCAGTAGACTGTAGCTCATGGTAAATGCAGAATCTTAGGCCCCCAAGTCAGAATCTGCCTTTGAACAAAATTCACAGGGACTCACATCTGGAGTAATGACAGCTGCAAGGTAGGAATTCTGTGATCTGCTATCCAGGCAGAAAAACACAAGCCAACATCACCCATAAGGTAAAAACTAGAACCTCTCTATAGAAGAATCCTATGAGACCAATGTCCTCAGAATCCTATAGGGAAGACTGACCTGAGAATTTTATACCCACTCAAACTGTCACTCAACTGTAAAATCAAAGTCGGCTTTTGAAAATGTACAACTAAGAACATAACCAAGACATCCACAGTGAGCACTGTATAATTTAAGTTTGTGCATTTCATTATGTGTAAATTTTATATGAGAAGAACAATACAAAGTAATACTGGGCTCTGGTTAATGAGATGCATTAAGGGGAAAGTGGTTGGGTAAATAGTGAAAGGTTAGTGGTTGAATCTAGGTGCGGGGTATACAAATGTTCCTTGTATTATTTTAACTTTTCTGCATATTTAAAAATATTTATGATAAAATGTGGGAGAATTATGGTTATAAAATGGAATGCAAATACCACAAATGATGTCAAGGGGGAAGAAATGTTATTTTTACCCAAATTAGGGGAAGAGAAAGGTTGGATGGGTACCTCTGCCCTCTTCCTGAGTGGCGGAAAGTGAGAGAGAGTCAGTTGATATTGTTAAAAAGTCGTAAATTGATTGATAGAACACATTTTGCACTGAGAAATGAGCCGAAACTTGGGGGGAAGAGTGTGGGTTCCCTAGCTGGGCATTGCTCATTCGGAGCATCAGTGAATACAATGTAATTGAAAAGCTTTGAAGACAAATCAGGGCCACAGAGTGGATCCCTAAATTATGTTAAATGGAAACTGTAAGGTCCTATTCATTTGTGACTTAAAAGAAGCACAAACTCTGTGCACTGACCATCTTGGGAAAGGGTTAACAATGGTTTGTTCTAGGATGTGGAGCATCTGGGTGGGAGCGAGCTCTATTTTACTGTGCACTCTTTCATACTACTTAATTAAAACAAGGAAACCAACCCTCCCGATGAGCTGACTTAGACATTACTTAATGGGGCGAGAGGAGATTCAGCTCCAACTCCTCCCAATCCTAAGTAAAAAGAAACATTAAAAGGACTGTCAAACACAGGTCCTAATGGTAAACAGGGAATGGCTGCTGGAGGGGGATGATCAATACTGCCATGAGCTACCAAGGGACAGGAAGATTGGAAATCTTTAAAGATAAAACACAGCCCCCCATCCCATGCCTTGTAAAAGCCTATATGGAGGACAGGGGCTGTGGATTCATTGCTCCTTGGAGTCTGTAAGGAATTGAACCATAGCTGCAGTCACTCTAAAGTCAACACAGCGTGTTCTATGGGCTTTAATGCCTTCTGAATGAATCCTTTTCATTTCTAGATGGCAGATACTTAACTTTGCTTCCTGTGTGGACCTGTCTGTCGAGACTTCTAGCCTCTATACCCAACCCTCAGAGGGTACTGCAGCCCCCGCATGGGGTACTGACCTCCCTGTTCTTGGGGCATATGATCTCTGGGTACCCCAAGAGGCCACGATCAGACATTAATTCCTGCCTTTGCATTTCCCCATCCTGTTGCAGGGTTTAGATCTGTACCTCTGAAGAATGGGCACAGCGAGGACATCGAGCTGGCTTCCCTCCTGGTTTTCTGTGAGATGCGGCCCGTCCTGGTGAGTGGAGAAGCACCAGCGAGTCATGGGGGTGGAAGTGGCTCATGATCATTGTTGGCTGATGAACTTAAGACCATTGAGACTCAGCTAGCCCAAGCACGAGACGTCATCTAATTCTGCAGAGGTCCTGGGTCTTTCCTCCTAGCATTCTATTTCTCAGAGAATGCTGCAAAATTCTGAGAGTAGGCAGTGTAGTTGGACACCAAGAACCTGGCTCTTCTAGAGAAGCTCATCTTTCTGGGTGCTTTTTTTGTTGGTCTTGGGTCATCCCTTCAAAGGATCTGAGAATATCCAACAAGATCCTCCTTGGCCAGGCCTGGGGAAGGAGCTACATGGATTCCCAACTCCTTTTGCACCCCTCTACTACTGGAGGTGCCTTCCTTTTGGTCCCCTTGGTTTGCCAAAACTTTGGAGATTCTTGGGTCTGTCCTTTGAAGAACCAGTTTGGGTGGGCTTGGCAGAAAGGTCTTGGCCTCATTGAATGGCATTAAAGGATATGATAAGTTTTCTCAGGACAAAGGGGTTAAGAATAGAACACCAAACTCTGGGTAGATGGGGCTTGGGTTCGATGGTAGAAGACCTGGAAATGTATTGTGATTCTGGAGCTTCAGAGTCTTTGTGGTGGCCTCTTCCATAGATGCAGACCCCTGTATGGTAAATGGTTTTTATAATGCCTGATCTGTAGTCAGTGTGTTCCCCTAAGGTCTTCCTATCCATGACAAAACTCAAAGCTCCACCAAAGGCCAGGTGAGTTCTTTGATCCCTCAAGTTCTCTTTGGCTAAGCTAAAAACGAAACAAAACAAAACACACACACACAAAAAAACAAAACTGTGGGCCTGGACCTCAGTGGTTGAGATGGGCTGGTCCTGCCCCCAGACACTCCTCGTATTTGCTCAACCTGTATTTTCTGGGTAGAGTCCATACCCTGTGGTGTTATTCTTTGGCTACAAGAACTAGCCAGTGATTTGGTAATTGCTGGTTTGGCAACTTTCAGAATATAGCTGAAAGCCTTTAAATGGGGAAGGAGAAGGTGTTGGGGGGTGAGGGGTGCTTTTTAACGGCCATAGTGATAGCCCATGCAGTAAAAATTCATGAACTTGACTGAGAGGCGAGAACATCAGGCTGCTTTGCATAGCTGTTTCCCTGTGCTCAGTTTTTTTTTTTCTGCAACCTTGGTAGTTTTCCACTCCACAGCGTTTCAGAAACATCGAGATGAAAGAGAATACAGACAGGAGCAGAGACAAAGGCCCAGTGCCTGGGGCCAGAGACCCTCAGCCAGGGGCACGACTTTTTGTTGGTATAAAGTAATCTCATGATGATGAAATTCTGTCTTAAGAGGATACGGGGATGTATAATAGAAACTCTCTTATCTTGAAACAGAATTTAAATATTGAACTGTAATGTTTATATGGAAACTAGTTTTCTCTTGAACCTTAAAGTATGGGCCAAAAAATCAACTGCCATGATTCTTTCTGTAATAGAAAGGCTTGGTCAGGAAAATTTATATAAAGACCCCCCGCCCCCGTACCAGGGCTAGTGAATTAGCCAACATACCCTGCCTGGTTGAGAATTCCTAGTTCTTCAATTTCTCCTCTTTTGGAGTGAATCATGCATTTCTTAATTTATCATTGAGACTGGGGTATTTATTAAATCTATTGAAAGATTTAAGCCAGAATTCTTGTTTTGTATAAATGGTATAAAGAAATTGCCACAAAACCCAGCCTTAGACTGTGGGGCGTGTGTATTTTTATAATTAGAGGGAGAGCGGGGCACGGAAAGGGACAGGGGTCTGTTTGCGTCCTTCATTTCTTAGTCATATGTCTTATGTAGCACAATACAAAAATTCATGTTTACATGTACAGGAGCTGGTGGCACCCCCCCACCCCCAAACAACCCAACCCAAACTATATCCAGACAGGTCACTTGTTCCTTGGTGGCAAAGTCACCACTGCTTTGAAGTGAGATTAGAAGCACTTTCATACTGTCACCCAGTCTTCACAAACACTCAATGACATCAATGAGCTCTGTGTTCTTCCACGTCAGGCATTTGGGTGCCATCTGGTTACAAACAAGGCCACCAAGCCTGTCTTTATGTGGTTCCCTTTTCTTTCAAGTCTGAATTATTTGCTTAGGACCCATTAATTTAGCAGGATGGTGGAACTGGAGCCCTCAACTGAAGCCTTGAGCAGGTAAGTGAAGACCTTTGGTCTGGTTAAGCTGCCCCGTCCAGGTCCTGGACTCATCCCTCTGTGCCCCGTGTGTACACCACACCCATCTCCAGGTGCTTCGCAGAAAGGCCAAGTGATAGCGCTGGGTTGAGGTGGTGGCAGGACAGTGTGTGCTGAGACTGCTCTGCAAAGCCTGCGTAAACAAGCCGGAACCGTATCATAAATAATTTAAGTGATTAGGTATCACCAGCAGCAGAGAAAATTAGTATATATTTAAAAGAAACTCTTGTTTATCCAGATTTGCATTCCTTGATGAGGGAAGCTTAATGTGCAGTGGCTGCTGGGGCTTTGGGTGGGGTTCCCTGTGGAAGCTCTCAGATCTGCTCTCTGAACACGTTTTTGTGGAGGGGTTGTCTGAGTGTGTGAGGATATCATTCAGCTGCTGGCTCTCGAGGTTTACTTAATCCTACATCTGTCACCTGGTTCTGTGCCACTCGGCATTTCCATCCATACTGGAATGAGGGCCTTTCTTGGAAGTCGAACTGGGCTGCACTTGGTAGGCCCAGGCTCTCTCCTTGATGGCCAGGGCCGAACATGGTTTTATTTATCATTATATCCTCTGGATGCCAGGGAGAGACTTGGGTAAACAACCTCTAGCAAGATTTGTCTGAGCAAGTGATTGATCCAGTGAGGGCTGAGATGGAGTTTACTCATAAAACATTTGCTGAGGCAGAGTTTAAAGCCCTAGAAAACTGTCAATAAGCACTTTAAGCCCCTTCTGAGGAAGCCATTTACATGTCGCAATTACTTTATCAATTCTCAGTCCTTTACTTCGTTAGCTGTATATATGGTTTATACAGAGTATTTTTAGTACTATTTTATTACCTACAATATTTAATTTGAGAACTAGGGTAAAAAGGAGGAGGATGGGGAAAAAACCATCAACGGCCATTATATAACCATTATTAGTACCCTGCTGTATTTCCTTTGCCTTATAATTTTTTGCATATAACATTTCTGTAGTTAGATTCACGCGTGTGCCCTCTTTCCACTTCACAGATGACCTTAAGCACTTTTTCTGTTAGGATTTTCAAAGCCATTGATGCCTGTTTCATCAGCTGAAGATCCTAATTCACTTAGCCACTCTCCCACGGATGGACAGTTCAGTTGTTGGCAGTTTATAAATAATAAAGGTCCTCATGAACCATTTTTTAATTAAAAATTATTCCCTAAGGCTAGATATTTAGTAATGGCATAATAGATCAAAGAAAAAAAGGGCCGTTTTCTGTGATACACAGTGAATTGTTCTCTGAAAGGAGTTTCTTTTGGGGTGATGTTTTATACTCATTCTTGCCTTAATTGGAAGGGACCTCCACTCAACTGATCTAAACTGGTCAGATTCAGAAAAATAGGACTAGGCAAGGCAGGGAAGCCTGAATGTCCACCCTTATCCTCACAGTGGGCCAGCCTGCAGTGCTGGGGGTGGGTTGAGGACAGGACACTCACTGCCCGGGGTTTCTCAGGTCTGGATCCTGTTGGAACATGGTTTGCTTTGTGCTGGGTGCAAGTGCTGGAGAGGCTCAGTGCCAAGACCTATTGGTGGGGATTCCAGGCCAAGCAGATGTGAGTCCTTGGGGAGAAGGCCCAGCACGCTCCAGAACCCCAGAGGACCAGGGGCTGTACTCTCGAGCTGAACTGGTCCTAGTTTTTGAGGTTGAAAAGATTTCTTTCTACCTGGGAGATACAGAGGAAGACCCTCCTGTGCTTCGCCAGCTGAAATTCACCAGTGCTGAAGGTATGACTACTGAACATAGAGCCACCAGCCTGCAGGGAAAAGCAACAGCGCACGGTGACCAGGGGAGAAAGACCCACACGTGGACATGGAGCAGCTGCTGGCAGTTGAAGTTGAGCCGTAAAATGTAAGTCTGGCACCTTCCAAAGCCATCGAAGCTGAGCGCTGAAAAAGGCTTTCAGGCATTTGAAACACATTAGGAAACCCTGACTTTTTGAATTTAGAATTTATTATATAAGAGAAGATATGGACATTATTGAATGAAAAGATAAATTAGAAGAACTTTTTCAACCCAAACAGCATCCCGTGAGATGGAAACCATGGAGGAAACGAGAGGCTAGAAGCAAATCCCAAGACAGATTTGGTTGGCCGCTTGGACCCAGGTGGAATGAGTAGAAAACATATCCACAGCCCTGTGCTTACTTTAGTAAAATATTTAAATTCCAAGAGTAAATAAAAAAAACCTTAGACTTCCCAACACAATGGCTATCTATTAGGAAAAGTCAAGTCAGACCTGTTGTCATCAGCACTAAAAACCCAAGACAGAGGGATGCCCCTATCCACAGGAAGACAGGGGCGTGCGGTGACCCCATGTCAAGGCAGGAGGAAGGCATGTGTGTTACATAAGGAAGCTTCCAGGTGGCCCCGAGTAGATGGTATTTTATTCAGAAGAGGGACCTCTAGACAGGGAACGTCTAAGTCTGCAGAATTCCATCTTACAGGATGGTGACAAGTCTTAAATGAGGATTCCTGAAACCGAACACGCTCTGATGCCAAGTTCCATAATCAGAAGCTGCAGAGAATCCTCAGAAGAGCCCAGGGGCTGAGAGGGAAGATGGAGGTGTCCTGAGGCTTCCGGCTCCTGGGTTATCAGGCAGACGGAGCACCTGCAGAGGACAAGCGCCTTCTGCTATAAAGGGAACATGTAATTTTAATTTGGATTGTTGAAAAACTGAGGAGAGCCACTGTAAAAATTGAGAAGCAGTGGCGCAGCGAGGAGAAGAGGAGGAGATAAACAGAAACTGAACCAGGAGTAAAA